GTGCGTGCATTTGGAACGAGTGAAATGAAAAATACACTTGAAAGGGTGATTTTTCATACTTTTGGACCGAATGCTTTAATATATTGTATATTAAAATATGTAGATAGTGTAGACAAGATGATATGATCATAACGCACATGCATTCACATGCGCACGGATGCAATGCTAAAATTTGAATATAATTGGTATCCTTCTGAGAAAACGTTGTTAAAGTCAAAATGCACAGAGTTTGTCTTCTTTAATGAAGCTTACAGGGAATATGGCACCAAAAAGGAGTTGGGGAGCGTTTGGGGAACATCTGTAACGGTCCCCGTTACAATTAGCACTAGTTATTCTTGTATTGTGATTTGTTTCTGTTCAGAAGAATTTATTTGCCATATATGCAATGACATATAATGTATCAAACGTCTTTATTACATTCTTGATTTTGTTTTTTTGGTATTAGAAGGTACTTGAAGGTTTCATACCCTTCTTCAGTAAAAATAAAGATGATCTTAATGTTAATCAGGACAAAATTTTACTGTTAACTCATTAATTATTCGAACATTATTGTTCAGCAGATCAAGTTCATTTGTTGTCAATGTTTTATCATTGATTATTGGTCTTTTCTCTTTCGAAAGTAATATGTTTGCTACAGGCCTGCAGCAGATCTAAAGAAAGAAAATTTTCTTGATTGCACATGATTGCCGCTAGCTGCAACCTTGCAACAAACATTGCAGCACTTGCTGAAAGGCTTGCAGCAAATTCGCAGGAATCCAACATATTCGCAGGAACATTTCAAGAAACACACGCAAATGAAATTTTCGCTGCAAGTTATAGCAGAAAACATATAATATAAAATCTTGTAAAATTACAATACTTGATAGCAGTACAGTCAAGTAATAGAAAAACGTCTTTCGTCAAATTAGCTGCAGAACTGTAGCTCTCCGAAAAAAATATATATTGATAGACCGGAGAGCTACAGTGCCACACAAAAACTGTACATTTATAGCGCACAAAAAAGTGCGCTGTTTCTCGATTTATATCTCCGTGTTCTTAAAACTGTCATCCCAAATTTTACATCGCCCGCGTGGCGCAGTGGTTAGAGCGTCTGCTCTAGAGTCGTGAAGTAAAGAGTCAATCCTTACGTCGCGGGTTCGAATTCCACTGTGGGACGTGGAGACCGTTCCTTCGCATGAGACCGTATAAACCGAGGTCCCGTGTCGCAGAGGGTGCTGGCACGAAAAAGATCCCTCCCCGCTAAATGGCCCTGAGTGCGGAGTATAGGACAAAATTTGCAGCTCTCCACCGGCAAGTGGTTGCGTCTCCATATGAGTGAAAAATTCTCGAGAGGGACGTTAAACAATATACAATCAATCAATCAATCAATCAAAATTTTACCAACCATGTGTTCCTAACATATTCTTTCAACGTTTCCTCAACAAAACATTCCTTATAATTGTTTCTAATAGCCCTCCTGAAACTGGAATTGAGATCATCTAAAATTTCGCCTATTTATACTGCCATTTTGGTTTGCAAGATAATTCGGTCCAACGCGCTTCGTACAGATGTAAACCACGTCGTTAATTGATAAAGGAGTAAGGATTTCATTGAAATCTAGCTTTTTGCGACTGAGGTAAGAATTTAAAAGAATTAATCCAGAACCAAGCTCATTTTTTTTGTGCGCAAAAAATATACATTCTTTTCAATGGTGTGGCACTGTAGCTCTCCGGTCTTTCAATGTATATTTTTTCGGAGAGCTACAGTTCTGCAGCTATCGTCAAATATGAAGCCATCAGCCTTAGCACGATGCAGCACAGGTAACCTAGAGGACTAGATTCACTGGTTTAATAATTACAAGGATGCTTAAATAAATATGATATCATCGCTAATTTTTAAACATAATCATTAAATTTAAAAGAAAATAATTTATTAAATACAATTTGTAAAGAATATGAATTTATCTAGTGGCATTGGATCTGCACAGGGACAAGGAATGTAGAGAATATCGCTAAAGCGATAAGCAAATTCGTGATTAACATCAAAAGTGCAAGGGCATAGACTACTTTGTTTAAGCTGAAATTTGGAATATTTATTGCTTATATAGTGTATATTTTGAAAAGTCCTGGGAGCTGATCCTGGTCTGCATAACATTATTTTTATTTATAACAGAATTTAAGCGAAGTGGAAATTTTTAGCTGTGTATGCCCTTGCACTATCCTCATTACCTACATTCAGCTTAACAATTCTTTTTTTATACATGAAGTCACGTGACAAACAGCTGATACGTGCGATATAACTGGTAATAACTACGACCCAGTCCTATCCATTATTGATAGCTATATTACATTTTCTACAAGTATATTCAGTTGCTTTGTTACAATTTTTTAAAAGAAGTAATACGTACTAAAACGATGCAGAGGTCACATTTTCCATATCGGTCCTTAACATAGCTGAGGCAGCAAATAAGTCAAATCAGCCAATTGCAATGAAATGCAAATTGTACTTGGGTCAACACAGAATTTGTTATTTTGAAATGTTTGAATAAGAGTTGTACATGTTTCAGTACAGTCTGTATTTTATTAGAAGTTTATATACTGTTTTGAATGTTTACTACAAAATTAATACAGAACTATGGATGTAGATGTACACTGGCATCTGGAATATCTAATTTGCAAAATCTACTTTTCTTTTATTTTAATGCGAAAAAAATATCTTAACATCATCTTAAGAGTAACTGCAAGGTGTATCATCTAGGTCAAATCTAAATCTAATTATTATGGATATCAGTCCTCACTTTAATATCACATTTGTATGCTTCTTAAATGTATAAAACGTCCCAAATCAATCATTATAATTATTTGTATACTCGATATGTTTTCAAATAAATTAGTATCTGTTATATGTTTTATTCAATTTTTAAATTATGTCTAAAGTTCTTAATTTTCAATAAATAGTGTATGCATAATGCATTAAAAGCTATAATACACCTTAATAAGGAAAAGTATGGAAACATTGTCTTGGAACATTAAGAGAGTCAATCAACTCTTCAGAAACTTGCATCATTTCAGACATGTGGTGGATTTTCTCTAAAATTAACAGATTAAGGTCAAGACAAAGGCTTTCTTTGAACCTGCTGCTTGTATACAGGAATGTGCCAAAATCATAAGAAAATTGTTTGCTGCAAGTAAGCAGCAATATTGCCACAATCTTGCTGCAATGTTTGCCGCAAGTTTGCATCAAGGTTTCCATATTTGTTAAATCGGACATGCAGTAAACTACATATACATTTGCATGGTAAAATGTTCGTTTCACACTTGTCGCAAACTTGCTGCAAACACCAAGGCTTTGTATAGACTGTCATGATTTTCTTTAGCGACACTGCTGCAAGTTTGTAGCAAATATTTGCAGGAGAATAATATATTTTTGGTAAGGGAATTATTTATTTTACATATTTTATCAGTGTTCGTGTTTGGGATCTTTTAACTTACCTTATGCATGTACTGACATGAAATAAAACAATCTTTTGTATTGAGTGCTTTGAAAAGAAATATATTGATGTTTATGTTTTCGTTTTTAGCTCACCTCGACGAAGTCGAGATGAGCTTATGCTATACCCCCGGCGTTGGCGTCGGCGTCGGCGTCCCAGGTTAAAGTTTTAGGAGCAAGTCCATTCCCAAGTAACTATAAGCCCTACCTAAACCAAACTTGCATGGATGATGCATCTAGGGATGTACACTACCAGACTTGCTTCGGATGCTGGATCTGACCTACATTTTCCAGATGAGTGACCAGGTTAAAGTTTTTGGAGCAGGTTAAAGTTTTAGGAGCAGGTCCATTCCCAAGGAATTATAAGCCCTACCCAGACCAAACTTGCATGGATGATGCATCTAGGGATGTACACTACAAGACTTGCTTCGGATGCTGGATCTGACCTACATTTTCCAGATGAGTGACCAGGTTAAAGTTTTTTGGGCAGGTTAAAGTTTTAGGAGCAGGTCCATTCTCAAGGAATTATAAGCCCTACCCAGACCAAACTTGCATGGATGATGCATCTAAGGATGTACACTACCAGACTTGCTTCGGATGCTGGATCTGACCTACATTTTCCAGATGAGTGACCAGGTTAAAGTTTTTGGAGCAGGTCCATTCCCAAGGAACTATAAGCCCTACTCGAACCAAACTTGCATGGATGATGCATCTAGGGATGTACACTACCAAACTTGCTTCGGATGCTGGATCTGACCTACATTTTCCAGATGAGTGACCAGGTTAAAGTTTTTGGAGCAGGTCCATTCCACAGGAACTATAAGCCCTATTTGGACCAAACTTGCATGGATGATGCCTCTAGGGATGTACACTACCAGACTTGCTTCGGATGCTGGATCTGACCTACATTTTCATTCCCAAGTAACTATAAGCCCTATTTGGACCAAACTTGCATGGATGATGCATCTAGGGATGGACATTACCAGACTAGCTTCGGATGCTGGATCTGACCTATATTTACATTCCCAAGTATCTATAAGCCCTAGCTAAACTAAACTTGCATGGGTGATGTATCTAGGGATGGACACTACCAGACTTGCTTCGGATGCTGGATCTGACCTACATTTTCATTCCCAAGTAACTATAAGCCCTAGCTTAACCAAACTTGAATGGATGATGCATCTAAGGATGGACACTATCAGACTTGCTTCGGATGCTGGATCTGACCTATATTTTCCATACAAGAGACTTGGTTAAAGTTTTGGGAACAGATCAATCCGAATGAACTTGAAGACCTTGATATATGCAGTATTAACAGTTATGAATATTTGTTTACACTATACATATACATATTTTTCACGCTACAGGCTTAGAAATGTGTATATGCCATGTAAGGGGTTAAACACAACTTGCAAGAATATTGTTGTTGGGATGAATACTAAATATTAAGAAAATATGATGTGAGATTTGCATTACTTAAACTGATGACATTCGTCGAGGTGAGCTTCGTAATCTTTGATTACCTATGTTTCAAACAGATACAGATTTTAATAACATGTCGGGCTCGTCGGTCACAGTAAAAATTTCTAAAGAAAGATATGAGTCCAGTACCTATAAGACAACCCCTGGTGGGAAAGGTCACCTATGTAAACCTGTTATTGTGGACATCAGAAAGACCCACTTTGGTGTCTTCAGTCACAAGCGACCATCAGCCTCCAAGGACGTTGATCTTCTTAAGCAGACGTTCCAAAACTTACTGGGGTTTCACCCAGACCCCTACGTCATTAATGATGAGTATTCCAAAAAGGAAACTGATCCTTTATACTCGGTAGAAAATCTGAAAAAAGAACTGAAAAACATTTAGTAAGAGTTTGGAGGCTTATGTGTCAAATATCTGTGGATTATGCGAAACGGCAGAGTTTTATGATTTTTAAAAAAAATTCTGATTTTATCTTGTTTTAGCCAGTAATGAAGAGATAACTAAGGATTCGGAGATGTTTGTGTGTGTTGTGCTGGCGTTTGGGGAGTCGGGGTATTTCTATTTACCCAATGATCCAATAGATTGCTTTAATCCACGAAGTCAAGAACCTCCAAAATTCTCCGTTAATGATCTGCTGCTGAGCTTTAAAGGAAACCAATGTCCACATCTGATCCTCAAACCAAAAGTGTTTTTGATACAGGTAATTATAATGCTCACCAATTTTTAAGCTCACTTCAAATAATTATAAATTTGTGGTGCCTAACTTGGCAATTGATGATGCATAAAGTGATATAAACCAGCTGTCAGAAATGCTTTGTATGCCAAATCTTGCTTCGAGGCCATAAAACTAAATTAAGCTCACATTTGATCTCAATCTCACTTTTACATAAAAAGTATATACAATGTAGTTGAAAGGTGAGACTGAGACCAAAAGTGAGTTCATCTAAGTTTTATGGTCCCGGCAGCTAAGTCATCATTTTGAAGGCAACTGAAGGGCAAAAGTTTTTGAATTTTTCACCTATACTGTATACGGAAGCACTCAAAAAGATCACTTGCTTAGTTTATATTTACCAAGCAAACACTAAGTTTGATAAATAAAATTTCCAAAATCTTTGATTTTTTTGTTTTAAATCTGCAGACATGTAACCCTAACCTTGTCCAAATAAATAAAGCACAGTTATCTATGGGCAGTGGACCATTGCCCCAAATACAGAGAACCCCGATAGAAGCGGACATTCTTATCTATCAATCAATTATCTCAGGTAAGACTTCTTATCTATCAATCAATTATCTCAGGTAAGACATTCTTATCTATCAATCAATTATCTCAGGTAAGACATTCTTATCTATCAATCAATTATCTCAGGTAAGACATTCTTATCTATCAATCAATTATCTCAGGTAAGACATTCTTATCTATCAATCAATTATCTCAGGTAAGACATTCTTATCTATCAATCGATTATCTCAGGTAAGACATTCTTATCTATCAATCAATTATCTCAGGTAAGGCATTCTTATCTATCAATCAATTATCTCAGGTAAGACATTCTTATCTATAAATCAATTATCTCAGGTAAGACATTCTTATCTATCAATCAATTATCTCAGGTAAGACATTCTTATTTATCAATCAATTATCTCAGGTAAGACATTCTTATCTATCAATTTTCTCAGGTAAGACATTCTTATCTATCAATCAATTTTCTCAGGTAAGACATTCTTATCCATCAATTAATTTTCTCAGGTAAGATTTATGTAGGAGGCGGGGGATTACTGCCCCCCCCCCCCCTCCTGATGAACGCCTTAGAAGCGGAGACTCGATTCGTATCTATCACTCCATTGTCGTAGCTAGTTTTAGAACATTATGAATATTTGTCTGAATATGTGACTTGACTATATCTTTTAAGAATTAAAGATTCAATGTTTACGGGTATAATTACATAAATTCTATAACTCCTTTAACTCCTTTACTTGACAGCAAATTTTCAAAATCCCTGTTTATCCTTCCAGTAAGTTTAAAGTTGATGGAAGAGCGAATGCAACGTTACAACGTCAGTTGTGTTTTTTTTATTTTGGCTAATGATGTATATTATACACTTCCATGTTTTACTTTTGTGACGTCAACATAAAATGTTTGTCCATGTTTTAGTGTTTTAATGCCGTAGATTACCACACAATTAAAAAAAATACATGCAAAATACACATGTTATGTAAACATCCTTATATATTTACATCCACTGAATATTTTCTCATTTATTTCTTAAGAAAATCCATTGCGTTAATCACTGCATGATCTACATAAGGCATTTCGCCTGTACAGATTTCTTGATCAGTGGCTGTTCCATCAATGAAACATATAAAGACGTTCACATCATTAATACAATACTGAATCGTTTTAAACCTACTTTAAATGATTATATTATGGGGAAGAAGGCCCTTTAGCTGACAAAATACCTGTCGTTCAATTTTTTTTTCATATTTTGTATATCTCTAATATAGTATGTCCCACATACCTTAAAAGCAAATAAATCAATAGGTTTTTAGATTTATTTCTGAGATATTGAGTGACAAATACTATACCCCACAGTGTCCAAGCGGAGTTTTGATTCTCAATGTTTCTGGGCCCATTAATCGATCCTAAATAGATTTTTTTTCAGCATAGATAAAAAATATCTCAGCGAACATGTGTCTTTTAAAATATTTCAGTGTATTAATAGGTTTAAAAATTCGAAAAAGCAATTTTCTTTTGTTACATCGCATCCGGATACGGAAAATTACGTACTTTTTAAAGAAAACTTAAACAAAAAAAATAATTTGCAAAAAGCCCTATCATTCAATATTTGCGTTTAAATAAAAGATCGCCATGTTATTGATTAGCTGTAAAATATCGATTTGTGAAGCTGAGCTCAATATTGCACAGGGCATAGTTAAACAAGACATGAGCTTGAGAAAAACGTGTCATGTATACATTTCTTGAGTACGGGAAAAACCTAACTATGACGTCACACATTGGCGAAATAAGCGAAATGAGACATGTCTACAAAATATTACCGTCAACAACCATGTAAATTTTTTTTTGTGTTCCCTTATTCATAAAATACAACATCATGTACACTGTACTGATCATGAGCCGTTATTAGCTCACCTGAGCCGAAGGCTCAAGTGAGCTTTTCTGATCACATTTTGTCCGTCGTCCGTCCGTCTGTCCGTCCGTAAACTTTTCACTTTTTTGACTTCTTATCAAGAACCACTGGGCTAATTTTGACTAAACTTGGTACAAAGCATCCTTGGGTAAAGGGAAATTTCAATTTCTAAATGAAGGGCCAAGTCCCTTCACAAGGGGAGATAAACAAGAAAAGACAACAACCACTGGTCACAAAAGCTAAAACTTACGTGGAAGCATACTGGGGTAGTGTATACGTAGATTTTAAACAGTTTAAATCATGACCCCCATGGGAATGGGCGGGGCCACAATGGGGAATCAAAGTTTTACATAGAAATATATAGGAACAATCTTTGAAAATCTTCTCAAGAGCCATGGGCCCAGAAAAGCTGAGACTTATGTGGAAGCATCCTGGGGTAGTCTAGATTTTAAATTGTTCAAATCATGATCCCCGGGGTAGGGCGGGGCCACAATGGGGAATCAAAGTTTTAAATAGAAATATATAGGAAAAATCTTTGAAAATCTTCTTTTCAAGAACTACTGGTCCAGAAAAGCTGAAACTTACTGTAAATCAATAAATTTTCACGACACCTTATTTTCGCGAGATAGTCATTGACTCTTGATTAGCGAGACAAAATTTTCACGAATTGTGGTTATTGTTCTATATAATCTTAAGGAATACTTTTATACGCGAGAATTTAATTTTGCGAGCACACTGTCTCGCGTAATTACGCGAAAATAAAGTTCTCGGGAATAATAAGTGGTTTACAGTATGTGGAAGCATTCTGGGGTGGTGTAGATTTTAAATTGTTCAAATCATGACCCCCGGGGTTGGGCGGGGCCACATTGGGGAATCAAAGTTTAACATAGAAAGATATAGAAAAAAGTCTTTGAAAATCTTCTCCTCAAGAACCACAGGGCCACATGAGCTGAAACTTATGCGGAAGTATCCTGGGGTAGTGTAGTTTCAAATTGTCTAAATGATGAGCAGCGGGGTAGGGGGGTCACAATATGTAATACTGTAAATCACTTTTTATTCGCGAGAACTTTATTTTCGCGTTATTACGCGAGACAGTGTGCTCGCGAAATTGTAATTCTCGCGTATAATAGTATTCCGTAAGATTATATAGAGCAATAACCAATATTCGCGAAAATTTTGTCTCCCTAATTAAGAGTGAATGACTATCTCGCGAAAATTAGGTTTCGCGAAAATTTAGTGATCTACAGTACAAGGGGGAAATCTAGTAATGAACAGAATGTTCAAAGCTTCTCAGGTGAGCGTTGTACCCATGGGCCTCTTGTTAAGATATTCTACTACCCGTGTCTACCGTGTATAATCTTACTGTACTAAGAGATCCACAATGACGTGAATGACTCGTTGGACGCTCAGTGTAGGGAAAGAGAAGAGTGGATCAATCTATTCCGTAATTTGATAATATTTGCAAGAAAGTTTAAATCTTTCTAGATATTCTTATACAAGATGATGAAATTAAACAGTTAAAAAATTATTTTATTATACTTTCATGTTAAATACTACAATCTGATTGGTTTAGACCCAGTTGACAATCCGTTCTATTACCCTCAGCTGTAGCAACACACGTGGCAACGGGTAACACAACGGTGATGTCACATGTGTGGAAATAATGCGCGTACGGTTCACCGTAGAATTCTCTAAACGTCAGTTGCGCGTTTGAAAGAACCGGATAAACTTGACCTCAATAAAAGCTTGTCTCCGATGTAGCTTACTTGAAAACAACGAACGACAGACGAAACATGCTTGCGACTAGTTGCGAGTGCAAGAAATAACGAACATTTAAATGAAAAAGGACTCTTACATTATCAGATTAACAATAAAGAGGTCAGTAAAACTTTTTCGAAGTAGCGGGGAGTTTGAAAGCTTTTGAAACGTGAGCGTAAAGACGATCGACGATTTTTTTTTGCTGACATCCTAAATCAAGAAGACATTCAGTATAATAAAATAAATGGTGCCTGTTTTGGAGGGTAACAGTTGAAATTGACAGCCCTCGGAAATCATTGTCAACCTCCGCTGACGCGTCGGTTGACAATGGTTTTCCTTCGGGTGCCAATTTCAACTATTACCCTCCAAAACAGGCACCATTTATATACAAGTACTGTGGTTTCAATCTTGTTTTGTACGTATTTTATCAGAGATTATGACGTTATTAAACTGAGTCATGTGACCATACATCCTTCGTTCCCTTAAACAGATACAAATATAAACAATCAAATGTCTTTCTTTGTTTGTTATTACAGGAATTAACGGTCGCAGCTACTGCAGAAAATAATTAAACAAATAAAATATAATTGTAATTTTTTACAGGAGAATATTCTGCTCATAAAGGAAATACTGATAGTAAGTCCGCCTGTCAGTTCGTGTACGCCCTCTTTAAGGAGGTCGAGGCTCTCACTGACGACAGGGAAGAGTTCGAACTGACCGATCTCATCCTCAATGTCAATAGGTCACTAGAGGACTTCATTGAAGAAGAGTATAATAAATCTAACGACGGAAACAAATCCTGGAATATCGGACCTCCTGAGGTCCCAGTGTGTATAGATCAGTTGACCAAGAAACTGGTGCTAAAGACACGATAAAATTTAACCTGGAATGACAAACTCCCAGAATTCCCTTTGTATATAGATTAACTGACCAAGAAATATGCATTTATGGCACAGTGAACAAAGACACATACTAAGAGATCTTTTGCTGTAGATTACATGTAATATGTTATTTTTGTTAAAAATATCTTTTGATTAAATATTAATATACTGTATTTAAACCTATAGCTATTTGAGATATTTTTATAGGATCTCTCATGATTTGAATTTGGATGTTTTTATCTAATGTGTTGTTTGGGTTTTCTTTTTCCCCGAGCCTTGGCGAGGAGATAAAATACACGAGTTGAATAAAAGTCATATCCAACTTCAATTAATATAAATTCTTTTTATTCCATGTTTAATACTTCACAACCAATGTTTTACACTGTTTTTATGTAGGACTTTATTTTACTTCATCAAGCTTACGCAAAACCATTTTGACAACACAACTGCACTTATACTGATGGATATCAGTACATGTACATATCCAATGAGTCATATCCAAAGGATAAAGTTATAAAGTGTATCCAATGTGCTTCATCCATTCATGCGAGATATTTAATCATTTATTGAGAAAAAATAATATGTTTAACGTATTGTCAATTAACAACTGTAATTTTCTTATAGGATATATCCTGGTGAACTTGAGATAGAAGATATCAGAGAGTCTGACACATCTGTTTCATACTTGGATATTTTACTTGAAAAGCCCTATGATAACTTTATCATGACTTAACTTTTCTATCGTCAACCTCCCTTACTTATACTGCATCACCTACATATGAACTTTATATATCTCGGTTGATTCGATGCACAAGAGCATGCTTTACGTATGAACAATTTCTAAAACGAGGTAGATCAATATTAACAAAAAAGTTGATGAATTTCAAACAAGAATATGATCAGTCTAGTTAAAAGTCATTTCGTAAGTTATATGGTCGATACAATGACCTTGTCAGCAAATACAATTTATCAATGATTCAAATGCTGACTGACGTTTTTCATACTTATTGTTAGGCCATTCTTTATACATTAAATTGACGGATTTTTCCGTTATTTTCCAATTATATCAAGGAGCACATGGCAGGTGTGACCGGTCAGCAGGGGATGCTTTCTCATCCATGACACCTGATCCCACTACTATGTTCTCGAGGTTCTTATTCTTGTTTGTTCCCCTCCTTTGTATTGTTTTTAGACTTATACAGGTCGGAGAGAATACTCGAAATCGGGTATTATCCGTGAAATCGCGTATAATACTCGATATAAGGGTATCGTTGAATCCGCGAAATCGGGTATTCCGTGCAACTTTCTATAAAAACTAAAGAATTAAGCAACGGCGCATTATGCCAGTAACTGTTACTTGTACATCAGTATCTTGTGGATTTATTTTTATTAAACCTAATTCATACGGTTGTCAAATAAGTTTAAAATCACACGACAAACACTGCTGGGGTAACAAAGAGGACACAATGGCGTTGTTATTTTTCAATATAATTTCTAAAACAAATAACTACACGTCGTTTGTCTTTATTTCCCATTAAAGTATTCCATATATTCAATTTTCTAATTTGTGCACTATTCACAAAACGTGAAATTTTAAAGAAATTAAACGACTAACGCCGTGTTATATTTTTACTGAAAAATGTATGGCGTCCCTTTCTCGTGAAATATAAATTATTCCTAAAAGTTAGAGAGTACAATATAGGCGAGTCATAATTGTATATCTCTGCCATAATAGAATACCAATTTTATTATAAAGAAGAAAATAAAATAAGATTAAATAAATACCCACGGGAAAACAGTTTGAAAATAGCTAATTGAAGGTGAGTAACCTTTTTTATGTCAATTTAGCTTGAAATTTTTATTCAAAGACATCGTAAATATTTTGGTTGTATTTTAATCGATACAAGATATGCTATTTTACCTTTATTCGATGCATTTTGTGTGAAAATTGAGAGTGAGAAGTCATAGGAACAGGATGTTCTTGTTTTTTTTTTGGGGGGGGGGTGTAAATAAAAGTCAATGTGTACATCTTTTCATGAGCTTATAATACATGTACATTGAATTTCTCAATATAGATCGAGGTACAGTCATATTGAAATATGAATTATATAGTCAAGTTTTCACATTTCTTATAGTTTTTACGTTTATGAACATGTTAATGAACAAACTGAATTAATGGAGTGTTCAATTGCCTTTGAAATCTTTGTCTCACTTTTTGGGAATATAATTCCTCATAGGACATTAAAATTTTATAAAAATCGTAGCCACTTCCTTTCTTTATTATACTATTTGAATTTGCTAAACAGGGTAAATTTTACCTCTTTACCTTCTATATTTTTAGCTCACCTGAGCCGAAGGCTCAAGTGAGCTTTTCTGATCACATTTTGTCCGTCGTCCGTCCGTCTGTCCGTCCGTCTGTCCGTCTGTCTGTCTGTCCGTCTGTAAACTTTTCACATTTTCGACTTCTTCTCAAGAACCACTGGGCCAATTTTGACCAAACTTGGTACAAAGCATCCTTGGGTGAAGGGAAATTTAAATTGTTAAAATGAAGGGACATACGCAAGGGGAGATAATCAAGAAAAGACAAAAATAGGGTTGGGTCATTAAAAAATCTTCTTCTCAAGAACCACTGGGCCAGTAAAGCTGAAACTTATGTGGAAGCATCCTGGGGTAGTGTAGATTCTAAATTGTTCAAATCATGACCCCCGGAGGAAGGGCGGGGCCACAATGGGGAATCAAAGTTTTATATAGAAGTATATAGGAAAAATCTTTGAAAAATCTTCTTCTCAAGAACCACTGGGCCATAAAAGCTGAAACTTATGTGGAAGCACCCTGGGGTAGTGTAGATACTAAATTGTTCAAATCATGACCCCCGGGGGAAGGGCGGGGCCACAATGGGGTATCAAAGTTTTACATAGAAATATATAGGAAAAATCTTTGAAAATCTTCTTCTCAAGAACCACTTGGCCAGAAAAGCTGAAACTTATGTGGAAGCATCCTGGTATAATGTAGATTCTAAATTGTTCAAATCATGACCCCCGGGGGAAGGGCGGGGCCCACAATGGGGTATCAAAGTTTTATATAGAAATATATAGGAAAAATCTTTGAAAATCTTCTTCTCAAGAACCACTGGGCCAGAAAAGCTGAAACTTATGTGGAAGCATCTTGGTATAATGTAGATTCTAAATTGTTCACATCATGACCCCCGGGGGAAGGGCGGGGCCACAATGGGGTATCAAAGTTTTACATAGAAATATATATTGGAAAAATCTTTGAAAATCTTCTTCTCAAGAACCACTGGGCCAGAAAAGGTGAAACTTATGTGGAAGCACCCTGGGGTAGTGTAAATTCTAAATTGTACAAATCATGACCCCCGGGGGAAGGGCGGGGCCACAATGGGGTATCAAAATTTTACATAGAAATATATAGGAAAAATCTTTGAAAATCTTCTTCTCAAGAACCACTCGGCCAGAAAAGCTGAAACTTATGTGGAAGCATCCTGGTATAATGTAGATTCTAAATTGTTCAAATCATGACCCCCGGGAGAAGGACGGGGCCACAATTTGGAATCAAAGTTTTATATAGAAATATATAGGAAAAATCTTTGAAAATCTTCTTCTCAAGAACCACTAGGCCAGAAAAGCTGAAACTTATGTGGAAGCATCCTGGTATAATGTAGATTCTAAATTGTTCACATCATGACCCCCGGGAGAAGGGCGGGGCCACAATGGGGAATCAAAGTTTTACATAGAAATATATATTGGAAAAATCGTTGAAAATCTTCTTCTCAAGAACCACTAGGCCAGAAAAGCTGAAACTTATGTGGAAGCATTCTGGTATAATGTAGATTCTAAATTGTTAAAATAATGACCCCTGGGGGAAGGGTGGGGCTACAATGGGGAATCAAAGTTTTTTTATAGAAATATATAGGAAAAATCTTTGAAAATCTTCTTCTCAAGAACCACTGGGCCAGTAAAGCTAAAACTTATGTGGAAGCACCCTGGGGTAGTGTAGATTCTAAATTGTTCAAATCATGACCCCCGGGGAAGGGCGGGGCCACAATGGGGTATCAAAGTTTTACATATAAATATATAGGAAAAATCTTCTTCTTAAGAACCACTGGGCCAGAAAAGCTGAAACTTATGTGGAAGCATCCTGGTATAATGTAGATTCTAAATTGTTCAAATAATGACCCCCGGGTGAAGGGCGGGGCCACAATTTGGAATCAAAGTTTTATATAGAAATATATAGGAAAAATCTTTGAAAATCTTCTTCTCAAGAACCACTGGGCCAGAAAAAGTGAAGCTTATATATATAGAAGCATTCTAGGGTAGTGTAAATTCTAAATTATAGGAATCGTGACCCCCGGGGGAAGGGCGGTGCCATTATAGGGAATCAAAGTTTTACATAGAAATATATAGGCAAAATCTTTGAAAATCTTCTTCTCAGGAACCACTGGGCCAAAAAAGCTGAAACATATGTGCCCATGGAAGGATCATGGGTTAGTGTAGATTTCAAAATGTCTAAATTATGATCAGTGGGGTAGGGTGGGGATGCATTATGTATAACAAGGGGGAAATCTGGTAAAGAACAGAATGGTCAAAGCTTCTCAGGTGAGCGATGTGGCCCATGGGCCTCTTGTTTTAAAAACGCTATCTTATACCTCATTATAATATGCTAATACAACGCACCATTTAATTGGCTCTAGACAATATGTCACAGTTTTCTTTTAGTTATTTTATCTATGATACGTATTACTCATGGCAATAACTTTTCCTTATACTCATTTATAATGCAAAAATGTGTTTAAAAAATAAACATGAATTCTAGTTATTTGTAGTCTTATATTGTGTTAGAAAATAACAGGTTGCTTTTTGTTTACCTACAATGTATACAATTTTTATTTGATGAATAAATCTTCCCTACGATTAAAAATATATGACTGAGTTTACCGACCGTGACATTCAAAGAGAGGTCTCTTGGACACATGTAGAACACAGTCGAGATTGTTTTGTCAGAGGTGGTCAAGAAGACTTTAGCCCCCCCCCCCTTTTTGAAGTCGCCAAGAAATGGTAAAATATTAATGACTTAGCGAAATTAAACGATCAACAGTTATGTTCTCTCATAAGCTGTATTCCTGAAACTATCACTGTCTCTGCTAAAATGAAGACATATTCTGCAAATATGTTTGAATGATAAATAAAAAAGAAAGGATTTTCAAAAAAAGCGAAAGAGGGTTCTGTTAGCCGAAATTTTAGACTTTTTTTATCATTATATTATTTATACATTCATAAATAAATTTGATTTTATGCACAAGTTGAAGATAATTAATCTTGACGCCCAAATTCTTACTTGGCTAGTGATACCTTTAAAAAACATGTGTATCTAGATGAAAGTTAACTCGGCAACATGCACCATCTCATTGTTTAAGTTATATTAGGTGATTACACCTCCTATACCCGATTTTGCAGATTCAACGATACCCTAATATCGAGTATTAGACGCGATTTCACGAATAATACCCGATTTCGAGTATTCTCTCCGACCTGTTATAAGCTTGAACACTGTTCCTTTTCTTCATATGATATTCTGTCGTGCAGAAGAAAGATTTAAATTTAGCCAGTAACAAGAAACACTCCTAATATTTTTCGAAGTTTATATCTCTCAGTCAAAATAAGTTTATATTACTAAAAATAAAATTGGAAATGAAATTACCATAGGTTCTTTCTTGAAATTGACATTCTTTATAACAATGATGTGAAGGAAAATTGGCAGGGCCAGATTCATAACTTAAACAAGATATGTCTGTGAAACACTATTGCCCCGTATGTCAATATAGAGAAGGTTAAGCTTTATTTTAAATGCAGATCAAACATGTTGGTACTTAAAGTAAGGCTTTTCCACAGGAAATGCAAATGTGAAATACAAAACACTAGCGCCACGTGTTTAAAGGTCATGACCACGGTTAACATTTTTAAAGGTAGAACAAACTCCGGGGTCAAACTGTTCCCCACGAAAACCGTCCCGGTCAAAGCGTTCCCAGATTTTGGTCAATGCGTACCATGATTTTGGTCAAAATGTCCCCAGATTTTGGTCAAAGCGCCCCCTGACATATTTTATAAACTACGTTTTCCTATCAAAATATGTCAGGGGGCGCTTTGACCAAAATCAGGGGGCGCTTTATAAACTACGTTTTCCTATAAAAATATGTCAGGGGACACTTTAACCAAAATCAGGGGGCGCATTGACCAAAATCAGGGGACGCTTTGACCAAAATCTTGGGGTGGTTTTGTAGTATCATATTTCTATAAAATATGTCAGGGGGCGCTTTGACATATTTTATAGAAAAACGAAGTTTCCAAACCGCCCCCAAATTTTGGTCAAAATGTCCCCTGATTTTGGTCAAAGCGCCCCCTGACATATTTTGGTCAAAGCGCCCCCTGACATATTTTGGTCAAAATGTCCCCTGATTTTGGTCAAAGCGCCCCCTGACATATTTTATTGAAAAACAAAGTTCTACCAACTTCTGACTGTCCACGCCTTCATCAAATCGGGCGCCGTCATGAAGCAGCTCCCGCTTGCCTTTATTCTTATGCCTGGGAAGCGGAAAAGGGATTATAGCGGGGTATATATTTTTCTCTCCATTTGATTAATTCATGTTATTATAGTATATATCACATGTTTATGTTCATAAACATCGTAAATATCATATATTTTCAGCAAACCAAAAAAAAATGTGTGAAATGCCATCATTAGCATGTCAATGAATTGCACTGATTTTTTAAAACTTATTTCAGGTCCTCTCTGTTCTTCTGGAACACCTGCCAAGGCAGCCCAAAGTAAACAGCGTTGTTGTTGACTTTGAGGCAGGCCTTTGGCAAGCCATTCGGGAGACCTTGCCAGACCTTGACATCCATGGTTGTGTCTTCCACTGGACACAGGCTGTCTGACGGAAAGCGGCATCCATCGGGCTTTCGGCAGCTTACAGGCACGACGACGGGACGCACGAGTTGATAAGGATGTGTCTTGGTCTGCCCTTCCTTCCTTCGGCACACATCAGGCAAGCTTTCCAAAAGCTTCGGGAGCAAGCCTCAACCCCCCTGCTTGAGGTATTGTTACGACTTTTATTTTTCATTTAAAAATAGTAATAAATACTTAAAATAGTAATAATAGTAAAAAGTAATAAATGATTTAATTAAATTGCATATTAATAAGTATTTCCTTTAAAAACATTAGGAGCTGATGGTGTACTTGGAGGAGACCTGGATCAACAATCCCCTGTGGCCCACCCACTCATGGTCAGTCTTCAGGCAGTCCATACGCACCAACAATGACGTTGAGGGTTGGCATCGGCGCCTCAACGACCAATCTCCAAATGGACAGCTGCCGTTCTATGTTCTGGTGCCACTTCTTCACCAAGAGGCTAACCTGCTACCCCTCCAGAGGAAATTGGTGTCCGAAGGAAAGCTGTGCCGTAGGCAGAGGAAGACAGGGCAACAGCAGCGAATCTTCCACCTCTGGGACCTGTACGAGGCCAGGGAAATTCGCTCCCTGCGGTTCCTAACCAAGTGTGGTAAGATTATAGACCCCATTGACAAACAGACATGACTGACCTTTTAAAGAGCCCTGGACATTGAGTATCAGATCTCTACGTACTGATGCGACATTGCGTGATGCATGGGGATCTGAAACTTTTCTGACTAGCTGACAGATGTTGTAAATACTTGTAAATACTAGTAGTAACTTAATATATTTATCCAACATACCTTTTATGTCTGAAATTAGTAAATGATTTATTTTTTCATTTGTGTCACAATGCTCTGAAAGATTTTTAATTCGTAATGTTTTAGTAACAAAAGAAATTCATGCATTTTTTTTTCGCAGATGGCATTCATTGTTCATTGAATTAACCATGCTTTTTCTTTCAGGAATTATTTTAATGTTTCTTTAAATCTGTCTTATTTGGAAAATACCCGCATAAAGCATTTATCCAACATGTCTTTAATTAGTATTTGAATTGCTTTTTCCAGTGCTTTGAAAAATATTTAATTCGTAATGTTTTGGTTAAATTTTAGTTTAATGCATTTCTTTGCCGATGACATTTATTGTTAGTTGTTTTATAAACCATGTTTTTCTTTCAGGATTTTTCATTTTCTCTCTCTTTTTTTTTCAATTTGTCATATTTGGAAAAAAATTATCTTACCTCTGTAATATTATGATTAACAACTGTTTTGGAAATTTATTATCATTTTCATTTGGAATAGTCCGTATAAAAACAATAGATACTATTTATCTTTTTTCAGTTTATTTGTTTCATTATACACTCTTTTTAATCATTATTTTTCTTATGTTTCATTATTTCATTTTTGTTCGAATAAAATTATTTGCATTGTGAAGTTTGTGCTTGTCAGAGATTCATCTTTGGGTTTAAATTATTTCATTTTTTCCCCTCAAAATTATAGCTCTTATTGAGAAGGCCTCCACGTGGCAAGAGATGGGCAACGATATCTTTTTTTTTAAAATTATTATTATTATTATCAATTTATTTTATGATACCGGCAATCATTCTCAGTTTTAAAAAAATATAATAAATATATTTATCCGTATTAAAATAAGAATCAAACAAAATATAAGAATCAAACAAAATATAAGAATTTAAACAAAAAACTTTTAGTAAGAACCGTTTTTGTACATGGATTTTGGAGTTCAAAAGTTATATTTATTTGAGTTTAAATTTTTTCTTCAAAATTATGGCTCTTTTTGAGAAGGCCTTCACGTGGCAAGAGCTGGGAAACGGTATCTGTATCATTTTTTTGGGGAGGGGATATATTAAATGATACTGGCGAACATTCTCAATGTTTCCCATAAAATCATTCCATAATTTTTAAAACTATAAATTAATGGTATATTAGGGAACGTTTTGCTCAAAAATAGGGGGCGCTTTGACCAAAATTTGGGGGGTGCTTTGACCAAAATTTTGGGACAATTTGGAAACTTTGTTTTTCTAAAAAAAAATATGTCAGGGGGCGCTTTGACCGAAATCAGAGGGCGCATTGACCAAAATTAGGAGGCGGTTTAGAAACTACGTTTTCCTATCAAAATATGTCAGGGGGCGCTTTGACCAAAATCAGGGGACGCTTTGACCAAAATCATGGGGCGCTTTGACCAAAATCAGGAGGCGCTTTAGAAACTACGTTTTCCTATCAAAATATGTCAGGGGGCGCTTTGACCAAAATCAGGGGACGCTTTGACCAATATCAGGAGGCGCTTTATAAACTACGTTTTCCTATCAAAATATATCAGGGGGCGCCTTAACCAAAATCAGGGGACGCTTTGACCAAAATCAGGGGGCGCTTTATAAACTACGCTTTCCTATAAAAATATGTCAGGGGCGCTTTGACCAAAATCAGGGGGCGCATTGACCAAAATCAGGGGACGCTTTGACCAAAATCAGGGGGCGATTTTGTAGTATCATATTTCTATAAAATATGTCAGGGGGCGCTTTGACCAAAATCGGGGGACATTTGGACCAAAATCATGGTTCGCTTTGATCAAAATCTGGAAACGCTTTGACCGGGGCGGTTTTCATGGGGAACGGTTTGACTGGATTTCATTTTAATTTTTGTTAATGAAATTGCACTTCCATGGCGTTCAACTTTTGTAGTGTGGAAATGCATGCTTTCTTTTCCCCGTCCGTTTTGTTACAGTTGGTTATATTGATAGAATCAAACCAAATACGAAGTCAGAACTAGGAGAGAACATAGACAATATAGGAAGTACTGACGGTAAGTCGGCCTGTCAGTTTGTGTACGCCCTCTATAAGGAGGTCACAGCTCTCACTGACCACAGGGAAGAGTTTGAACTGACCGATCTTATCCTCAATGTCAATAAGTCACTGGAGGACTTCATTAGGGAGGGGCATTTCAAATCTGAGGAGAGAAACAAACCCTGGAATATCGAACCTCCCGAGGTCCCGGTGTGTATAGATCAGCTGACCAAGAAACTGGTGCTAAAGACACAATAAAATAGAACCATGAATATCAAACCACCAGAGGTGCCTGTGTATATAGATCAGCTGACCAAGAAGTATGCATTTGAGGCATAATGAACAAATTTAAGACTTATTTGCAGAGATCTATTGCTGTAGATTACATGTAATATGTTATTTCTGTTAATAATATATATTTATATTTTTTTCTAATATTTGGAAACCTATTTGAGATAATTATATAGGATCTCCCATTATTTGTAGTTGGATATGTTTTTTATCCAATGTGTTGTTTGTGTTTTCTTTATCCCTGAGCCTTGGCAAGGAGATAAAAAACACACAAGTTGTTTTTAATACTTCACAACCAATGTTTTACACTGTTTTTATGTAGGACTTTATTTTACTTCATTAAGCTCATGCAAAACCATTTATCCAACGAGTTATGTGGGTTTTCTTCATCCCAGAGCCACAACAAATTGGATAAAAATAATATCCAACTTCAAGTCATGTGAAGTTCTCATTATCTCATGTTCAATACTTCACAACTGATGTTTTACACAGTTTTTCCATAGGACTCCATTTTATTTTACTTTATTATGCTAACGCATAACCATTGTGATGTTTGAGGGATATAAAAAAATATCAAATGAGGCAAATCCAAAAGATAAAGGGGTAAACATGGATTAAATTATAAATGTGTTTGACAGAAGGATAATACTAGAGAGTCTTTCTCATTACATGTAACATGTACTATAAAAATTTCCAAAAACAAAATTAATATTATCTTGATATTTTTACATAGTGTATCCAATGTGCCTTAATTATCCATTCATGCGAGATTTTCATTCTTTACTGGAAAAAAAATATTTTTTTTGAGAGAGAAAAAAAGTTTTAATTGAATGTTAATTAACATCAAATACTTGTAACTAAGTAATCCTTCATGAGGTTTTGACAGTTTCCTGCATCAAATAATGTTTGTTGTAAAGTTTTCAATTGGATTTTAAAGAAGTTAAATTTTATAAAATAACACATGCATTATTTAAAGTTTAATTTGTTGTTTGTAGAAACAACAATGATTGTAAATCTTTAAAATGACTAATATGTATACTTTTATATGTATTTTTACTACTCAAGTAATCATCTACTAACATATATATTATAAATTTGATGCAAAAAGGTTGTATGTAATCTTGTTTAGCGAATAGATAAATGAGATTGACATTAAACTTGATAAAAACCACTCTAGGGGTTTATGTAGTCTAAGGGCTGATACCCAAGTGATACTTTTCATCAAGACCAAATCAGATTTATTTTTAGGTCACCTGAGTCACTAAGGTTACCAATTGCTATTTGTTTTTTTCCATTGTCATCAGTTCTTACGTCGATAGGATATATCCTGGTGAGCTTGAGATAAGAGTTACCACAGAGTCTGACACATTTGTTTCATATTTGGATATTTTAGTTGAAAAGGACATTAATATATACATGTAAACCAAGTATTATGATTATGTGTTATGAGGGTTTCTAAATGACATATTATTAATCAACAATCTATTCTTATAGAATTGTTCTATTAATTTTCGGTCTTGTTTGACATCTGTAGTTGAAGATTAATTGTTTTCATTTGATGTTTTGAAAGGGCATTTTTGCACATGGTAGCATTATCTAATTCTTGAATCTCTTTCCTGTCTCACTATATCAATGTCAATTACTCATTCTTGTTATCAACTTTATGGTTAGATCTTAGGATTGTGTTCTTTGAATTTTTTATTGTTAGCTCTACTGAATTTCAGTGCTGTAAATTAATGTAATACGGATTCCCCTGTTCATGCAACTTTCTATCCTTAATTTATTTGGCTGGTCAGTACTAAAGTGGGCGTAGTTGTCAAAGATTAGATGTGATTGAGTTTGTAATTGAGTCAATCTAGGAAAATCCTATGTTAAATACAGTTTGTTCCAATCTAAGAAAATTATTTGTAAAATTCAGTTTCTTCCATGTACAAAATTCGTTCTAAATTATATTTGTGAAATTTATTTTTTTTGGACTTGCAACAAATTCTGAACTTTAAAACCGAATTATCAATTCACAGTAATATTACACAAGCTCTGTGATAATGGTCAACTTCCCTTATAATTACGCAGCAATATACCATCATCACCTGCATACGGAGTTTATATATCTCATTTGATTAGATATGCAAGAGCATGCTCTAAGTATGAACGATTTCTAAAACAATGTAAATTATTGACAAGCAAGTCGATAAAACGAGTTTCAGTTGTCTCGTTTAATGTCATCATTTCGTAAGTCAATACAATGACCTTCTCAGCAAATGCAATTTATCATTGGATCAAATTTTCACATGACTGACGTATTTCATACAAATTGTTAGTCCATTATTTATACACTGAATTGACGACGGATTTTTCCGTGATTTCCCGATCATGAAAATTAAGAAGCATATGGCGGGTGGGACTTGTCAGCAGTGGATGCTCTCTTCTCAATTGCACCTGATCCCAACTCTGTTGTGGAGGTCCTTGTTTGCTCTGCTCTTTTGTATTTTGTATTGATCTTGAATACTGTTTGTTATATCAATAATTGTTTCACTGTATGTCATCTTGTTTGATGAATTGATAAATGAGATTGACATTAAACATGTTATAAACCACTCTGGGGGTTTAGGCTGATACCTAAATGATAATTTTCATTAAGACCAATCATTTTATTTTGAGTTCACGTTATCCACCTAGGTCCTAGGTGATCTATTGCTAGTTGGGGTTTGTCCATTTTCTTCCGTCAGACACCCTTTGTAAAATTTTGACATTTTCACAGGTTCTTCAATGAGGATATTTTTGTGCAAGAATTGAAATTCATACAATATGTAGCAGTAATTTCAATCTGTTTTGGTTATATTTTTTGGTGTTGCTCTAAAATAATGGTAAATGGTAATATGCATGCGAGAATTTAGCAGATAGAGCAATCATAGCGTATATTTTTCATTCAAATCAAAATTACCAAACAATCTTAGTCTCTAAGAAAATGTCTAATTTTAGAAATATATATGAATCCTTCAATATGCCAATTTTTGACTCATGCTTCGGAAATCGTGTATAAATCGGATAGGCGATTAAAAAAGAAATGACAAAAGACTTTTATTGCAAAAACTCCATTCGAAAAAATTCAAAATTTCATCTTAAAAATCGTTTTAGGGGCCCATAATAAAGCTTCTAATTTAGCAGTTAAGAGTATAGTTTGATGTATTTCCCATTGAAGATATAAAGGTATTATTATTCATATCGATAGTATTACAGATTACAGAGAATTATTTCAATTCAAGATAACTCAAACCAGCTTGCTTTTAAAAAATGCATATTCAGGGGATGAAAAATTGCAGGAAATGAAAAATGTGGTTTTCGTCAAATAAAATAAACAAATATGAATAATAGAATTTAAATAGACATGAAAAAGCCTGCAGTCCACGCATCATAATCTCACAGAGTACAAAATATAGAAAATCTGAAAGTTGAATAAAATGACAAGAGTTATTTACTTATTTATATGCAAAGTTAAATGAAAAAAGGTCTTAATTAACTTGCCTTTATAATTTCATTTAGATGGACGTCAAAATAATGCCTTAAAAGTATTCTCAGCAAACTGCATTTTATTTAATCTGACCTTTTAAGGACATACGATAGGTACTTTACTGACTGATAATTTTCAAGACATTATTAATTTATCTAAGATTATAGTGCCATCAGATGTTCAAAGAAAAAAAATCCGCATGTATTACCAGGGGTTTAAGGACGATATCAAATTATATAAATTTTTGCATTATTAAAAATGATGAAACATAAATTCCAGTTTTTTTCAGCAAAATTTGTTTTAGAAGAGGTGTACAAATTTATATATAGACTTTAAAGTATTGCACACAAGTCCTTCATTTAGAGCCCAGGGAAGAGCCCAATGAAGTTAAAACTATTCGTTGGCCTTGCGTATGAATGAAGTCTTAACAGAATAATTTTTAAAGATCAGTTAATTATGAACAGGATAACAAACAACAGAATGCAAGCAAAAGTAATTATTTCAGGCAATATTATAAAAAGTTTTGCAAAGGCCAAATGTATCGAAAAGTATTATCTTTTGTGTAACTTCGTTCCGTACTTGCTGGGTACTAATCAAGGTTCAACTGTACGCTCAATTTTGCCAATTGTTGCGACTATTCTCATTACTTAAAGTATGTTTAGATTAAATTTATCATAATCACTGATAGACAAAAAATTAATGATTGTATTCTTTGCAAAATTAATTTTTTTAAAACAAATTTTCGTATGGAACTTATTAATTTTTTTTCTTGTTGTACTACGACAAGATTTTATTTATATTCATTAAAAATATTTTTATCACAAAATCTCGTGATTTCTTATCTATTGCCCCCTAACGTACCCACACCAAAGGGAGGGGACCACCCCTCCCGAACCTACCCCCACCCGGCGCTTCGCGCCTCACTGCACTGTCAAACTTCGGGAAACATTCATTTTTTTCTGATTATGTATATCATATAAATATACCTCTGACCTGAATATATGTATGCTGTAAATATTTTTCATTGTCCTCATGTACCGTGTATTTTAAATAGTTTTGAGTGAATAAATGAACTTGAACTCCTTTAATTTTTTTTATTTGTGCTAGCTGTGAAGGCAGGATTTTCCTACTTTCGTTTTTGCCATTATTTTCTACATAGAAACGCACTAAACAAAACAAAATCCACACCGGCTACCAATGAGGTAATTGAAATTTTAAGACATATTTTTGCGTGAAAGCCATAATTTCTCTTGCTTCTCATCGTTAACTTGTAAACTTATAGTTAAAGATATTTTAAATATCTGATGCCTTAGCTATGAATGTGTAATTATTGTTATGAATTATTTTAGTGAAACAACATTATTTGCTACACCAATTGTTTGTACTCTAGTTATGTTTTGCCTTCTTATCATTCTTATATTCAATTGTTTTCTGTATGGAGTGATATATCAAGGAAAGTCGGAATATTAGTTTGTATAATATTTATCAAGAATTAAATTATGAATAAATTTTATGTTTGTGTTCAGGAGAGAGTGCCAATAATTGTTGATAAAATTCTTCTTTTTTGCTTATTTATAAATACTTATTATGAAGGCTTGAGCTATTGAATTGTGATGGGGGTACTTGTATGTTTTACCCCATATCTCCGTGAAATAGTAGATGTCCGATGCAGTAACCATGCATGTCTAACAGATACGTCAAGCATCGGTTGCTTTGAATAAAGACCAATTAAAATATCAGGGGAAACATATTATTTATTCTAATAGGGAGCTTAATTTAAATATATTTGAATTCTTATCATTGTTACTTTATTTGTAAATATGTGTTTCACACCCTTTCTCAGTAAAAATATAGATGATCTTAATGTAAATCAGGACAACATTTCACTGGTAACAAGGGATGTAAACGAATATTCGAATATTCATTCGATGAGTTGATATTCGAATATGAATTCATGTGTACAAGCATTTAATTAAAAGAGAGGAAAACCTGGCAAGTTTTATTAGAAATTGAATCAAGTTTGTACAAAATTAAAAGACAGTCCTTTTGGATTATCATAAAGGTGCATGTGAAGAGTGTATCTATTAAAGTTATTTATTCATCTGATCAATTATTAGTGGTATAATAGTATACTTACAGTCAGCTTGTATTGTTGTAAGGATAAGGACACGGTTTACGGTTACATGTACATATCATTAAAAAATAAAAAAAAATCATTATCAGGAAATTAATTAGCAAAAAGTGATTGCTTTTAATTTTCCTCCGTTAGATAGTTGGTCTGCTTGGTTTGGATTTGTTGGAGTTATCAGTTTAGACTTTAGTAAGACGATAAATAAATTAAGAACATGTTAAAGAAACTTTTAAACTTTCAACCAAAAAAAAAATCATTACATTTTGAATGTACACACTCTTCGTGTATTCGATAATTTAAAAAAAACCATATAATTGCACATTTACCAAACTCTGTATAAGTTTTGTTCCAAAATAATGGCATTAAACCTATACTGCATGACAGGGGAGTCAAGATATATATTATATAATGCACGATTTATTTATTTTATCGAATATTCGAATACTCCTATCGAATATTCGAATATCAATTATTAACAATTTTGACATTCCTACTGTTAACCCATTAATTATACAAGGATCTACCTTAAAGAGACATTCATTGAATATTTTTGCATAATGACATTATGCACACGTTTTCCCACTTCACTTTTTGATAGAAGATTAAATATATGTATTTTGGGTTTCCCAAACAAAAAAAAAAAACCAAAAAAAACAAAAAAAAAAAAAAAAAAAAAAAAACAAAACAAAAAAAAAACAAAAAACAAAAAACAAAAAAAAAATTGAGTGGAACTCTTATCCACAACTCCTCTTATACCACTGAATGAGATTTAATGAGACTTTCACATAATGCCACTGTTCACCTCCTATTGTACTATTTGATCTGACATTGATTTCCGGTCTCTTATAGCAAAACATGGACTTTGCCACGATATCATATGGAAGGCAGGGGTTTTGATTTTGTGACATCAGTACTGTAGTTAATAAATAATTACCAAGCCAATCGAGATAATTAATTTTGTTGTCACATATTTAATCATTGTTTATTGGTCTCCTCCCTTACCAAACTGATATGTTTGCTGCAGACCTGCAACAAGTCTGATGCAAGCTCGCAGCAAACAAAATTTTTTCTCAGGAAGAAAGTTTTCTTGTTTGCACATGATTGCCGGTAGCTGTGACCTTGTGGCAAACATTGCAGCAATTGCTACAAGCTTGCAGCAAATTTACAGGAACCCAACATGTTTCCAGGAACATTGCAAGAAGAATATGGAGATAACGAACAGTATTCAATTTCAAAATCCATAAAACAATACAAAAGAGGAGCAGAGCAAACACGGACCTCCGAAACATCAGAGGTGGGATCAGAAGCCATTGAGGAGTGAGCATCCCCTGCTGACTGGTCACACCTGACGTGTGCTCCTTGTCATCATAAAAAAAAATAACGGAAAAATCTGTCGTTAATTCGGTGTATAAATAGTGGACTTACAATTAGTATGAAAAACGTCAGTCAGCATTTGACTCAATGATAAATTGTATTTGCTGACAAGGTCATTGTATCGACCATAGAATGTACGAAATGATGAATTTAAACGAGACTGCTGATATTCTTGTTTCATCAACTTACTTGTCAATAATTTACATCGTTTTAGAAATTGTTCATACGTAGAGCATGCTCCTGCGTATCGATTCAACTGAGATAATTGTACTCCGTTTGCAGCTGATGAAGGTATATTGCTGCATAAGTAAGGAAATTTGACGATAGAAAAGTTAAAGTCATCACGTTTATCATATAGCTTGGTTGTTAGATTACTTTTAACGTCTTTTTCAAATAAAATATTTAAGTATGAAACAGATGTGTCAAACTCTGTGGTATCTTTTATCTCAAGCTCATCAGAATATATCGTATCGACGTAGGAATGGAAATTACCATTGGTAATTGACAATACGTCGTCAGTATATCTAATTTTCTTCTTTTCACGCATAAGATTATGCACAAATTCTGCTTCATATGAATATAAAAATAGGTCTGCTAATAACGGAGCGCAATCGGTACCCATTGGAATTCCAATAGATTGTGGAATACCTGGTGTCCAAAAACCACATAGATATTGTCAGTCAGAAACTTAAGCATCTCTTTGAGGTCAACTTCAGATCTAGAGTACTAGTGTGTGCAATCAGAATGTGTAACAAAATAATTTTGGAAATGACCAATGACCAGATAAGTAAATTTACCAGTTCCATTTTTATTGAAAAAGCAGATATCAATGATATCAAAAAGCCTGGACTTTAATTTATCCAAAGGGAATGGTTGTGTATAAAGTTGAAAAGTCGTAAGTTTTTAAGCTGTTGGTTTTGGTAAAATCTTGTCGCTTCAAATTGTCCAAAGTTCTTTGGAATTTTTGAGTATCCACATTTGATTCACACCACTTCTTGAATATATTTTTGCACAGTACTCTTGAAGTTTTTCCTTCACAACTGTCAATATCTTAATGAGGAGTAACAAAAGAGGCTTGGTTGAACATTTACATACACGCAAATCTAATGTTCGCAGCAAGTTATAGCAGGAAACATTTAATAATTTCCCAGCTAACACAAAAACATTTTAAAAATGTTTTTAAAACATTTTCAAAATGTTGCGAAAACATTTCCAAAATATGTTTTAATCACGTAATTTTGTATGGTTTTTTAAACGTTTTTAAAACATTTTAGTGAAATATTTCAGCAAAATGTTGTCAGAACATTTTCTTAAAATGTTGCAAAAACATTTTCAAAAATGTTTTAATCACGTGAATTTGTATGGTTTTTAAAACGTTTTTAAAACATTTTAGTGAAATATTTCAGCAAATGTTTTCGGAACGTTTTCTTAAAATGTTACAAAAACATTTTTCAACAATGTTTTAATCACGTGATTAATTTTGTATGGTTTTTTAAATGTTTTTAAAACATTTCACAAAATATTTCAACAAATGTTATCATAACATTGTTTTTAAATGTAACAAAAACATTTTCAAAAAATGTTTTATTCACGTTTAAATTGTTTGGTTTTTAAAACGTTTTCAAAATATTAAAGTCGAGGTTACAAAAGTATTTTTCCTGAATTTTTACTTTTTCTCATTAAATAATGATATATTTATATTTAAAAAAATAAACACAAATTATATTTAATTTTTGACCTTTAATACAAACCCATATTCAATATGTTAATCACATTTAAATTCCATTTTCGGTACAAGTTTTGATTTATTTTCTTTCAAGTCACCGGGTTTTTATAGGTTGAAAACGGCGTCTAATCCATTCACTGAATTTTTAAAAAAGAACGGAATCACAGAAATCAAATGTTCACTGTATAGGTCGAACGGAGTGGCGGATCTATAAGACTTAGTCAGAATCACATACACTGAAAAAGCTGATAAGGAATCTGCCCCTCGGAAAGAATAGCACAATCTGTAAAGATATGGAAGATTGTGTTTGTATCAGCGTTCTACATCTAATGTATCTAAAGATGATCAATGAAAATATTTTAAAAAATTATATCAAATTTAAGTTATTTCCTCATTTGCATTGAAAACATAGGTAATCAAAGATTACGAAGCTCACCTCGACGAATGTTATCAGTTTAAGTAATGCAAATCCTACATCATATTTTCTTAATATTAAGTATTCATCCCAACAACAATATTCTTGCAAGTTATGCTTAACCCTCTACATGGTATATACACATTTCTATCCATGTAGTGTGAAAAACATGTATTGTGTAAACAAATATTCATAACTGTCAAAACTGCAGATATCAAAGACTTCAAGTTCATTCGGATTGATCTGTTCCCAAAACTTTAACCTGGGCTCTTGTATGGAAAATATAGGTCGGATCCAGCATCCCAAGCAAGTCTAATAGTGTCCATCCTAAGATGCATCATCCATGCAAGTTTGGATCAGGTAGGGCTTATAGTTACTTGGGAATGAAAATGTAGGTCAGATCCAGCATCCGAAGCAAGCCTGGTAGTGTCCATCCTAAGATACATCATCCATGCAAGTTTGGTCTAGCTAGGGCTTTCAGTTACTTGGGAATGAAAAATGTAGGTCAGATCCAGCATCCAAAGCAAGTCTGGTAGTGTCCATCCCTAGATACATCATCCATGCAAGTTTGCTTCAGGTAGGGCTCATAGTTACTTGGGAATGAAAATGTAGGTCAAATCCAGCATCCGAAGCAAGTCTGTTAGTGTCCATCCCTAGATGCATCATCCATGCAAGTTTGGTTCAGGTAGGGCTTATAGTTACTTGGAAATGAAAATGTAGGTCTGATCCAGCATCCGAAGCAAGTCTGCATCATCCATGCAAGTTTGGTTCAGGTAGGGCTTATAGTTACTTGGGAATGAAAATGTAGGTCAGATCCAGCATCCGAAGCAAGTCTGGTAGTGTCCATCCCTAGATGCATCATCCATGCAAGTTTGGTCCAAATAGGGCTTATAGTTCCTGTGGAATAGACCTACTCCAAAAACTTTAACCTGGTCACTCATCTAGACAATGTAGGTCAGATTCAGCATCCGAAGCAAGTCTGGTATTGTACATCCCTAGATGCATCATCCATGCAAGTTTGGTTCAGGTAGGACTTATAATTCCTTGGGAATGGACCTGCTCTAAAAACTTTAACCTGCTCCAAAAATTTTAACCTGGTCACTCATCTAGAAAATGTAGGTCAGATCCAGCATCCCAAGCAAGTCTGGTAGTGTACATCCCTAGATGCAACATCCATGCAAGTTTGGATCAGATAGGGCTTATAGTTACTTGGGAATGGACTTGCTCCTAAAACTTTAGCCTGGGACGCCGACGCCGACACCGACGCCAACGCCGGGGGTATAGCATAAGCTCATCTCGATTTCGTCGAGGTGAGCTAAAAAGCAGAGAAATAATTACTATGACAATATTATTGAAGAGTAATAATATTTACGTACAACTTTGCCTTCACCAAAGGCGGGTCTTTTGAATGTGGGAATATTTGAAAATACGGATGATGCAACCAACACCATGCTGTAAAGAAATTTCATTTTTAAATCAACATATTGTTTGATGATTAACATTTCACAAAGACATCGAATACTTGAATCAAGGATATAATTGTGTTGCCTTAAGAATGAAATATTCAAATCAAATATGTATATAACCTTAACGCTTTATCATTGCTACTGACATACATTTGTACAAAGTTATTGATCATGCACTAGTAGTATAAAGGTCGTTTTTAAATGATCTTTTAAACCCTATGATAAAGGAATAATTCTTACCATTCAAAGTTAATAAATCCCGAGGTTATTATTGTGGTTTATATGGTGCGAAGTCTTCTCATTCAAATCGGTACGGAGTAAGCGCGCACATCTTGTTTACCAGAATTCACTTTACTCTGTAACGCGCTACCCAGCAGGAGAATTGCATAATAGGTTATCATGACACTGAAACTGGCCAGTGTGCCAATCCCTATCTAATGCCTCAGAGTAAAATTCTGGGAGTGGATCACAGATTTGATGAAGAACATTTTTTAAAAAAAGACATTTAAGAGTTTTATTTAATGCTCATGATTATATATATTTAATTATATTTTAATCTTTTTGTTTGCCTATCCTTTCATTGATTGATTTTTTGATTTGTTTAATCAAAGGACTTTATAAAAATTATGTATATTTAATCAATAAGCCAAAACTAGAAATCATTATAAAATACCGGAAAAAATCTTTCAATTAAAAAATTTCTACAATTCCTCATTTAAACACTATTCTTTCTATATATTCTTTTTTTTCTTCATAAACTAAATTTAGGAAAATCGCAATCATACATTAATTGAATGTTTTAAGAACATTTTGAAAATAACAGCAGTAATGAAAAATAAAGTCTTTCAAAAAAAAAAAAAAAACACATTAAATTGAACATGTTGAATGTTCTAAGATCATTCTCAAAACATACTCTTAAAGTTACTAAATGAATTGAATTGTGCCACAATTACATAAATGTTTCAGAAACATTTTGGAAATGTTTCCAAAAAATGTTACAAAACTATAATTAAAATGTTTCAATTGTAGTGAAAATAATTATTTTAGGTAATGTTTTATATAAACATTTTCACTGCTTATGCCGAAAAATACCCGGTATTGAATGTTTTTAACTAACAGCGATATTAAGAATGTTTTGAAAATATTTTTAAAATGTTCCTTACAAATGTTTTAGAAACGTATATGCATTGTTTCCGATTTACACAATAAGAATGTTTCATTTCATGTTTTAAGAACGTTTTTAAAACGTTTTATAAGATCTTTTATATTTGGAAACTATAAATACCCTTAAATGAATTAAGAATGTTTCAAAAACATTTTGACAACGTTCCTTCCAAATGTTTCAGAAACGTATTTATGCAATGTTTCAGATTTATGGAAAAGGAATGTTTGATTTCATGTTTTTAGAACGTTTTTAAAACGTAATATAAAAATCTTTGATATTTGAAAGCTAAACATACCTTTTGAAACATTTTAAAAAAAATATTTTAGAAAAATGTTCCAAAAGGATTTAATCATAAGCTTCATGAAAACATTTTAAAAATGTTTTTAAAATGTTTTAATGAGAAGAGGAAATGTTTTAAAAACATTTTTAAAATGTTTAGTCTGAAATGTTTCGAAAAAACCTTTTTACAACACCAATAAAATGTTTTGAAAATGTTTTGTGCTACCTGGGTTTAACGTCTTCAGGAAGTTTGCAAGAGCAGTATATAAGTCAAATCAGCCAACGGAATGCAGATTGTACTAGGGTTAACAAAGAATTCGCCATTTTTAAATGTTTATATTGCTGTTGTTTATGCTTCAGTATTTTGTTAGGAATAAATTGATACTTTTTTGAATGATTAAATACAAATGCAGAACTAAGGATGTAGATGTACTTTTGTACTTTGGCATCCGTAATATCTAATTGGTAAGATCTGATTTTGTTTTATTTTAACACGAAAAAAACCCATTTATTAAAATCATGTTTCAGGAACTGGTGTAACATCTAGGTCAAATATATCTATTTATTATAAACATCAGTCCTCAGTTTTAAAATCACATTTGAATGCTTCTAAAATGCATAAAAGGTCCCAAATCAATTATTATAATTATTTGTATACCCATTATGTTTTCAAATAAATTAGTATCTGTTATTTTATTCAATTTTTAAATTAAGTGTAAAGTTCTTAATTGTCTGTACATAATTTATAAGAAAAAAAAACACAAACTATAATACACTTTAGTTAGGTAAAGTGTAGAGAAATTTTAGAACATAAAGAGAGCCAACACTTCAGAAACCTGCATCATTTCAGAAACATGCTGTGGATTTTCTCTAAAATTAACATATTTAGGTCAGGAGCAATGTTTGCCACAAGCATACAGCGATGTTTGCCGCAAGCTTGCACCAAGGTTTCCATGTATGGAAAATCCAGTGTTTGCTGCAGACATGCAAATTCCAAAGCTTTGTATAGACTGTCATGCTTGTCTTTAACTACAGCAATCTTGGAGCAATGTCTGATGCAAGTTTTTTTAGCAAGTATTTGCAGGAAGGCAATATTTTTGGTAGGGAAATTATTTTACTGCACATATTTTATCATTGTTCTTTGGCCACTTTGACAAATTATTGGGATCTTTTTCATGTAACTGACCCTGTGCATGGACTGATATGAAATAAAAATTCTTTTGAACTGAGTGCTTTTAAAAGGAATGTATTGATACCTGGTATTTATTTATTTATTTATTTTTAACAGATTTTTTATAAAATGTCGGGTTCGTCGATCTTAGTAAAAATTTCTAAAGAAAGATACGAGTCCAGCACCTACAAAACAACCCCTGGTGGGAAAGGTCACATCTGTAAACCTGTTATAGTGAACATCAGAAAGACTCACTTTCCCTTGTCCAGTCATAAACGACCCTCAGCCTCCAGGGACGTTGACCTACTTACGAAGACGTTCAAAAAATTACCGGGGTTTCACCCAGTCCCCTACGTCTTAAGTGATAAGAATTCTAAGAAGGAACATGATCCTTTATACTCGGTAGAAAACCTGAAGAAGGAACTGAAAAACATTGGTAAGAGTTTGGGGATTTGTGTATCAGAATATCGGTGTACATGTACTTGTTTTGGAAATAAAATATAATTTTCATAGTTTCATTTGGGTATGACATGAAGTCGGTCACGTGATCTAATTCTATAACGCCCGAATATATTTATATTTTACGTTTTTAGTCGTGTTACTTAAGGAATAAATTTAATAGCTACCCATTTTATACGGTATAAACTGGGTTTGGGCAGTTTACGCTTTATAAACCGCGAAGCGTCATGTGACGTCACAATCGGAACTTTCCAAATGGCTCGTGCAGTTTGCTTTTCATACTCAAAAAAGTCTGATCATGTGACCAACTGCATATCATTAAAAATTGAATTGCAATTTTATTAGCATTGTTATAGAAGGAAAGACATCAGTAAATGTAAATATTGTATTTTGAGTATGCTGTTTTGAATTTCTTTTACTTTTAACATGCTCAACAATGCAGATCTACATGTTATTATTCTTTTTTCCAATTTTTTGACATTATCAGTTTTACGATTTTTTTTATTTTATCTTGTTTTAGCCAGTAATGAAGAGATAACTAAGGATTCTGAGATCTTTGTGTGTGTTGTGCTGGCGTTTGGGGAGTCAGGGTATTTCTATTTACCCAATGATCCAATAGATGACCGGAAAAGAAGTGATCAACCTCCAAAATTCTCCGTGAATGATCTGCTGCTGAGCTTCAAAGGAAACCACTGTCCACATCTGATCCTCAAACCAAAAGTTTTCCTGATACAGGTAAATATATAATGCTGACTAATTTTAAGCTCACTTCAACGAGGTTGGGGGATCTTATGTAATACACGTAACCCCGTCTTTGGTGTCGGCATAAGCGTCCAAGATTAAAGTTTCTTATTAAGTATTTCTATGTCCTATATAAATCCTAGAAGATGCTTTTGAGTATGTCTCATTGCACCAGTAAAGTTTCAGATGCTTCAATTTCAACAAAGGAATGACCAGGTTTATCTTTTAGCGCAGATTGAAGTTCTTGGAGCAGGTCCCATTTTCAAGTACTTATAAGCCCGATGTTGACCAAACTTGCAATGATGACACAATGCAAATATCGAACTTGCTTTGGATGCTGGATCTGGTGTAGATTTTCTGAATAGGGAACAAGTTTAAAGTTTTTGAAACAGATTCATTTTAGAATATTTACATTTACAAATATTTTCCTGAAGATTGCTTATAAAGACTTAAAACCAGGCATTTTTTTCATGAAATACTGTGGACGAGGACGAAAATAGCTATTGTGAGATCATAGTACTGTATTTAACATCAAAACTATAGTGCATACTATTTTGCTTCAAAAGGATCGTTGAATGATATAAATTAGTAGCTAGGCTACCCGAACCCAAACAATGTAAATATAAGATAAGAATTCCGTTTTTGAGGTTTCATGAGATATATGGACAACAATTTCACGCTTCATGAAATAAGCCGGAGTGAAGCGTCCTAGTTCATGGTGAATCCCTCAAAATTATTTATTTCTTGAGAAACTGTAAGAGTTGCCTCTGATACTTGAATTGTTTTCCATTATTTAGTTGAGTAACTAGGTTAAAGTTTTCGTGCAGGTCCATTACCAAGAAACTATAATACTTATCTGAACCAAACTTGCTTGGATGATGCATCAAGGTACGTAGACTCTGAAACTTGCTTCAGATACTGAATTTCAATGAATTTTCTGGTTGAGTGACTAAGTTTGAAAATTTTGGATTAGTTCATCCCAAATTAACTCTCTTCTGAATCACCTTCCCTTTCCAGCATGAATCCTTTAAATTATTTATGATTTTGGGATTCCTACGTGTGTACATCTGAGCATCAGACATAATTGGAAACAATCACAAAATTACCATCTTATTTTATTCACTCAAATTGAGTATAATGCAGCTTTTTAAGAGTTTTTTATTTGGCAGTTTTTAGTTTAACTAGCTGTCATGGTAATTGTCACGATGGAGCAGATTTCACCTAGTAAAGAATCTGACCTATAATGAGCAAGAGCCATCTTATGCATAAAATGACCCTGTACTTATATCAATTAATTAACTATCACTCTCTTTCCGATTTCATATATCAAAATAAAGTAGACACTTGGTGCTTTCATTTTCTAAAATAAAATTTCGTTTTGAGAATCCAGATATTGCAAAACAGGTTTGCGAAATTGCAATGTTCTTGAAATTTGCAGAAACCATGTGCATTTGACTACCTTCAGCAAAGAATTAAAATAATAATTAGGACAGCCTACGATCCGAAAATTAAAACATGTTTTTTTTATCTTCAGAAACCGAGCTTTCATAATGTATTTGCATATTTTGGATCAGAGTTTGTGCTCTATATATGGAAAAAATGCTTCAACGTCATTTTCAAAGGAATTAACAGGATATGAGGAAAATGACGCATTTTATGACGTCATAATGCATTGACTAGATGGAACATTACTTCACAATTAATAGATACGTGCTCACCAATACTCCAAGTGATAAATACTGCATTTACAACCTAAACTTAGCGGTTTTGATTTTTTTTTAGAAATTCTCAGGGCCAAATAAGGCCCAAAGTGGTTCTTGCTATTTATAAATGAGCAACCATTTTTTGAGCTTAAGGAGAACATCCTTTCCCAAATAACTATAAGTCTTTTGTGCCTAACATTGATTTACACTGTCAGAAATGATTTGTACGACGGTTGTCCGCTAAGTTCGCGGAGAACATTAGTGCTTACTGACAAACATTGATAAAATTAATGAAACTTATATTTTCATTAAATTAATGTTTCATTTTATACACATGCAAATTTTTAACAAAAACAAAGCACAAATAGTTATATTTTTATTAGATACAAAAAAAGACCCACACTCATACTTGGAGCACTAAAACGAAAATCCCTGACGTTACCCGACGTCAAAAGCTATATACATGTAACTTTTATCAACACAGTCACCTTTTTACTCAATGCGTTTTTTATGTCGCTTTAAGCAGTCATGAAAAATGTGTAAAAACTGCATAGATTTCATTTGTAGAATAATATTTAACACTTTCTGTCTCAGATCCTGCAAATCACCAAACGTTTGTCCGCGTAAAAACGACTTAAACAAAGGAAATACTGCAAAGTCACGTTACGAAATTCATTTTTACAGCATTGCAATGTTGCTAGGAGTGATGGTTTTCCTTCATAGAGCGCAAATTTGTTCAGGAACAATATTGACATATTTCATTGATATTATCATTCTACACATTATATCAAAATATTGATCCTGAAAACACATGCGCTCTGTGTTTTTTACTCAAAATATCGACGAAATATGTACATTTTTCTGTAAAATTCATAAAAAAACTGAAATTTACGTCATGTTTGTGACGTCATTACGTACATATGACGTCATTACTTATGAAAATATTCAGTGCTTTGAAGTCAGCATATACTCCCCTGTTTAAGAACTAAATTAAATTTATCTCCATCAAAGTTTGATTTTGGGGGCAAATATTGGTTATTACCGATAAAGTTCTTTCCGCGGAATTTTACAAAATACAAATAAATTTTTAAAGTGATAAAAACTTTTTAATTAAAATTTTGCGGTGGTCCGGGTCATCATCCCAAGTCTAATAATGAAGACATTATTGTAATTATATACTGTAAACCAACTTTTATTTGCGTTCGAGAATTTTTCGCGAAGTTTGCGAGAGCCTCGTCATCGCGAATATTTCTCACCGCGAACCGATTCTTAAAGTGTATGTTGTTATTAACAGCAGATCCAAGAGGGCTTTGATCGCGAAAATTAATCTTCGCGAACTAGTTAATCGCAAAATATAGTCTTCGCGAATAAAAGTTGATTTACGGTATTTAAAATTGAATATAATTTTACATTTTGTAAATCACATTTAGTAGAGGATTACAAATATGATAATAATGAACATCAATGACACCATTTTTATTTAAATTATAGCTTGTCCATGACTTACGGACAACCCTCATATGCGAAATTATGCTCTTGGGACATAAAACTAAATTAAACCCACTTTTGATCCCAGTCTCACTTTTACAATTAGGATATAGTCGAAAGGTGGGACTGAGATTAAAGTGAGTTCATTTTAGTTTTAAGGCCCCGGAAGCTGATTCAATATTTTGAGAGAGGCTGTAGGGTCAGAAATTTTTGCATCTACTGTAAGAAAGTAAACAAAAAGAATACTTGTTTAATTTATATTAATAGCAAGCAGTTATGTGGTTTGAAAGTTTACTTTACTTAAAAATATTTTTGGGATAATAAAACTTCATTATTTTTGATTTTCTTTATGTTAAATCTGCAGACATGTAACCCTAACCTTGACCAGATAAATAAAGCCAATTTTGCTGCGGTCGGAGGACTGCTGCCCCAAATACAGAGGTCCCCCATAGAAGCAGACATACTTATCTATCAATCAACTGTGTCAGGTAAGATTTAGGGAGGAGACGGGGGGGGGGACCCCTTTACTGGTATATAGAAAGAGACATACGTATCTATCAATCCATTGTCTTAGATAGAATTGGTGCATTATGAAAATTTGTTTCCATACACGGTTGCGGTTATGATACTATAGCTTTAGAAAAATAAAGATTCTGTGCTTATTCTGATATAAATTTTATAACTCCTTTACTTGACTGCAAATTTTATTTCAAAATCCCTGTATTGCATCCTTCCAGGAAGTTACAATTGATGGAAGAGCGAATGCAAAAGCTTCTGTGATGGTTGATTTTGGATAATGATCGACTACATTAATATAACACATCCACGATATTCTCCTTTTGTGACGTCAACAGAAAATGCATGTTTAAAACTTTGACCCTTTGTTCATTTAATAGTGTTTTGAATGCCATAGAATTCCACCCACTCCACATGCAAAATACACATATAATGTAAATATTCTTCTATAAATAAACAAATGAAAAATAATTGTAATTTTGCAGGTGGTTATACTGATAGAATAAAAAAAAAAACGAAGTCGAGACTAGGAAAGAACATTGACCATAAAAGAAAAAAGTCGGCCTGTCAGTTTGTGTACGCCCTCTATAAGGAGGTCACGGCTCTCACTGACCACAGGGAAGAGTTTGAACTGACCGACCTCATCCTCAACGTCAATAAGTCACTAGAGGACTTCATTGAGAAGGAGCATTACAAATCTGATAAAAGAAACATATCCTGGAATATAGAACCACCAAAGATGCCTGTTTGTATAGATCAACTGACCAAGAAACTGGTGCTAAAGACACAAAGATGGAATTCTACTCAGAGACCTATACATTGTTGTATACTATGATATTTTTGTTAATAATATATTTTAATTATAATATATGGATACCTATTTGAGATAATTATATAGGATCTCCCATGTTTGTAGTTGGATATGATTTTTATCTAATGATTTAAGTGGGTTTTCTTTATCCCAGAGCCTTGGCTGTATCCCAGAGGGATTAAAAACACAATGCATTTGATAAAAAGCAAATCCAACTTCAAATCATGGGATATTTTTTTATCTCATGTTCAATGCTTCACAAAATATGTTTTACACAGTTTTTCTATAGAACTCCCATTTTATTATACTTCATTATGCTAACACATAGCCATTGTGATGTTTGAGGGATATCAATAAAATATCAAATGAGGCGCATCCAAAAGATAAAGGGGTAAACATGGATTAAATTATAAATGTGTTTGAAAGAAGGATAATACTAGAGTCTTTCTCTTAACATGTAACATGTACAATAAAAATTTCAGGAAACAAAAATTTAACTTGATATTGTTACATAGTGTATCCAATGTGTCTTGTCCATACATGCAAGATTTTCATTCTTTTTTGAAAAAAATTAGTTTGAGAGAGAGAGAAAGTTTCAATTGAACATGTTGAATGTTAACATCAAATACTTGTAACTAAGTAATCTTTTCATGAGGTTTTTCACAGTTTCATGCATTAAATAATGCTTGTTTTAAAATTTTCACATGGATTTTAAAGAAGTTGTTAAATTTGAAATGACACATGCATCATTTAAAGTCTAATTTGATATATGTAGAAACAACAATTATATATCTTTAAAATGACTAATATGTACACTTTTATATGTATTTTTACTATTCAAGTAATCATCTACTAACATATTGTAAATTTTATGCAAAAAAATTGTATGTAATCTTGTTTGGCGAATAGATAAAAGAAAATGAAATTAAACTTGTTATTAACGACTCTGGGGGTTTATGTAGTCCAAGGGCTGATACCCTAGTATTACTTTCCATCAAGACCAAATCAGATGTTATTTTTAGGTCACCTGATTCACTCGGGTGACCTATTACTATTTGGTTTTTGTCCATTGTTATCAGTTCTTATGTACAATTTATCTTGGTGAGCTTAAGATATAAGTTACCACAGAGTCTGACACATCTGCTTCTACTTCGATATTTTAGTTGAAAAGGATGTTAATCTAAAAACCAAGCTCTATGATAAACGTGATGACTTTAACTTTACTTTCGTCATCTTCCCTTACTTATGCAGCAATATCACCTGCATACGGAGTTTATTATATATCTCATTTGATTAGATATGCAAGAGCATGCTCTACATATGAACAATTTCTTAAACGAGGTAAATTATTGAAAAACAAGTTGATGAAAAAAGAATTTCAGCTGTCTCGTTTAATGCCATCATTTTGTAAGTCAATACAATGTCCTTGTCAGCAAATACAATTTATCTTTGAGTCAAATGCTCACATGACTGACGGTTTTCATACCAATTGTTAGTCCATTATTTATGGACTGAATAGACGACGGATTTTTTCGTGATTTTACGATCATGATAACTAAAGCGCACACGGTGGGTGTGACGGGTCGGCAGGGGATGCTCTCTTCTTAATTGCACCAGATCTCACCTCTGTTTTGGAGGTCCTTGTTTGCTCTGCTCCTTTGTATTTTTTATTTGATCTTGAATACTGTTTGTTAGCTCCATAATTGTTTCATTGTTTGGCGAATAGATAACTGAGATTGACGATAAACAGGTTATAAACCACTCTAGGGGTTTATGTAGTCTAAGGGCTGATGCCTAAGTGATACTTTCCATCAAGACCAGTCATCTTATTTTGAGTTCACGTTATCCACTTAGGTGATCTATTGCTAGTTGGGGTTTGTCCATTTTCATCCGTCATGCATCCTTTGTAAAATTTTGACATTTTCACAGGTTCTTCAATGAGGATATTTTTGTGCGATAATTGAAATTCATACAGTATGTAGCAGTAAATTTATGCATTCTGTGTAAAACAAAAGCGCGAGTTCAAATACATTTAAGGCATTTCATGGGCAAGTGGTGTATATTCCATGTAAGCTGAAAGTGGTCATTGGTGTTGCAATATCTCAGGTAAGACATTCTTATCTATCAATAGATTTTCTCAGGTAAGACTTATGGAGGAGGCGGGGGATTACTGCCCCCCCCCCCACACACACACACTGAGGAACACCTTAGAAGCGGACATTCGATTCGTATCTATCACTCCATTATCGTAGCTAGTTTTAGCGCATTATAAATATTTGTCTGAATATGTGACTTGACTATATCTTTTAAAAATTAAAGATTCAATGTTTACGAGGATCTTTAGTGTTTATGAGTATCTTTACATAAATTCTATAACTCCTTTACTTGACAGCAAATTTTCAAAATCCCTGTTTTATCCTTCCAGTAAGTTAAAGTTGATGGAAGAGCAAATGCAATGTTACAACGTCAGTTGAATGTTAGTGTGGTTTTTTTTTATTTTGGCTAATGATGTACATTATACACTTCCATGTTTTACTTTTGTGACGTCAACATAAAATGCTTGCTTTAACCTTTGTCCATGTTTTAGTGTTTTAATGCCGTAGATTACCACACACTTAAAAAAATACATGCAAAATACACATGTAATGTAAACATCCTTTTGTATTTACATCCAATGAATATTTTCTCCTTTATTTCTTAAGAAAACCCATATTGTGTTAATCACTGTCTACATGAACTACAGTCGGCATTTCGCCTGTACATATTTCTTGATCAGTGGCTGTTCCATCAATGAAACGTATATCATAAATACAATAATGAATCGTTTTAAACCTACTTTAAATGATTATTTAAGGGGAAGAAGAACCTTTAGCTGAAAAAAATACCTGTCGTTCATTTTTTTTCATATTTTGTATATGTCTAATTTAGTATGTCCCACATACATTAAAGCAGATATATCAGTAGGTTTCTAGACTTATTTTTGATATATTGAGTGACAAATACTATACCCCACAGTGTCCAAGTGGAGTTTTGATTCTCAATGTTTCTGGGCCCATTAATCGATCCTAAATGGATTTTTTTTTCAGCATAGATAAAAAATATCTCAGCGAACATGTGTCTTTTAAAATATTTCAGTGTATTAATAGGTTTACAAATTCGAAAAAGCAATATTCTTTTGTCACATCGCATATGGATAGGGAAAATTACGTACTTTTTATAGAAAACTTAAACAACAAAAAAATTAATTTGCAAAAATTCCTATCATTCAATATTTCAAAACTTTTAATAAAAGATCGTCATGTTATTGATTAGCTGTAAAATATCGATTGGTGAAGCTGAGTTCAATATTGCACAGGGCATAGTTAAACAAGACATGAGCTTGAGAAAAACGTGTCATGTTTACATTTCTTGAGCACGGGAAAACCTAACTATGATGTCACACATTGGCGAAACATGTCTACAAAATATTACCGTCAACAACCATGTAAATTTTTTTTGGTGTTCCCTTATTCACAAAATACAACATCATGTACACTGTACTGATCATGAGCCGTTTTTAGCTAACCTGAGCCGAAGGCTCAAGTGAGCTTTTCTGATCACATTTTGTCCGTCGTCCGTCCGTCCGTCCGTCTGTCCGTCCGTAAACTTTTCACATTTTTGACTTCTTCTCAAGAACCACTGGGCCAATTTTGACCAAACTTGGTACATTGTTACAACGCGAAATGTAATATCAACGCGAAATGTAATAAACCTGGATTATTACATTTTGCGTTATTACATTTTGCGTCGAAATCAACGCAGAATGTAATAACGCAAAATGTAACATTACATTTTGGAAAATTATAACATTTCGTGTTATTACATTTTGCGTCGAGGTCAACGCAGAATGTTATAACGCAAAATGTAATAATACGATTTTTGGATTATAACATTTTGCGTTGTTACATTTTGCGTTGTTACATTTTGCGTCGAGATTAAGCAAAATGCAGGAACGCAAAATGTAATAACACAATTTTTTGGTCGACCAGATTGAGTACAATTTTCAATAGTGTAGTGGCCGATGAAAATAAAATAAAACGAAAGAAAATAATAGATCAATTTCTTACAATTGATAATTTTTTTTTAATATATTGATTTAATTAGTTACATGTATTCTAAATCAGTTTAATAAATGCATTCATATAAAATGTGTTGCAAATTAGAAACGTTTGGGCAAGGTAGTTTGGGGTATTAACCTGTGTGCTTTTGCTTTTTTATAGACAATATGCAATGAATTAAAAAAAAAATATTCATTTGTACTAGCAGGTGTAAATGTATAGCGGTAAGAGGTTTATTGACAAAAATGATACCACACTGTTCCATGCAAATCTCCAGCATTGCAGACAAGCAAAAACAAAACTCTCTCTCTCTCTCTTTCCATCCATCCTATAATAAAACGGATTGTTTCTGCATACAACAATAAACAAACGAAGTAAACACCCCGCCCTATCCCTGCCCCTCCGATCCTCGCTTGACACACACATACACTTCTATTCATTTGTTAACCAATGTATACGTGCCGAAAATGCATATAAAAAATATACCTGCGCTATGCTTTACTGTTTAGATGTTATAAATTTATATTGTATACAATAAGATGTATGTCTTATGTAATAAAGTGAATTGAATTGAATATCAAAAGCTTTTAATGAACCTATGGTCAATCTTTGTTAATTAAATATGTTTTATTGGTTAGAAATTTAATAAGCCTATCAAAAATATGCCAATCAAAGTTAAATCAATTCTTTATAATTAAGTACAGTGTATTTAATATAACTAAAATCAGAGTCAGAAAAACGATACTTTTTAATGTATTAATGTTCGGAAAAAGGCCTAACGTTGATCTCATTGTTTTAGTTCAAAATATTTTTACAGCGCGTTTTCCATGTTGGTTACATGTATATATTTGAATCAATTTTATGATCTTTTTTTGTTCAACGCAATCAAAAATATTAATTATATTTTGTTATATTACATATTGTTTTATTACATTTTGCATTGTCTTCAGTGTAAAAAATAAAATAACGCAAACTGTAACAACGAAAAAGCACGTTATTACATTTTGCGCTGATCTCGCCGCAAAATGTAATAAAGAAAAATGTAATAATCTCAAAATTGTGTTGTTACATTTTGCGTTATTACGTTTTGCGTTGATTTTGACGTCTTTCTTTGTTTGTTATTACAGGAATTAACGGTCGCAGGTATTGCAAAAAAAAAAAAATTACGCTTACGCGGGTTATGTTTTTTTCTGCAACAGCTGCTTCTGTTAATTTAGGGAATGACTATCTTCTCATTTGGTATTTGCGACCGTAAATGCTGATTTAATGGTCGCAAACTGAGTTTAACCGGCGACGCGTAAGCGGAGCCAGTAAAACGGATGTTTGCAACCGTTGAATCAGCATTAACGATCGCAAATACCAAATTAGAAGATCAATTATTCCCATTATAATGCAATCCATATATTTTGTTTGTTTTTTACGTCTTATTTTGCTGAGTTTTGTTATAAAAAATACGTAACTGAGCATTGTGTCTTTGCGTTGCTCTATTATGACGTCACAATCAGCTTTCACTCACGTTAATTTTCGTTTTACTGCTTCAAACATCATGGCATTTAGGGAATAACTATCTTCTAATTTGGTATTTGCGACCTATATTGCTGATTTACGGTCACAAACCGAGTTTTACCGGCGACGCGTAAGCGGAGCCGGAAAAACGGATGTTTGTGACCGTTTAATCAGCATTAACGGTCGCAAATACCAAATTAGAAGATTAGTTATTCCCATTCTAATGCAATCCATGCATTTTGTTTGTTGTTTACATGAAATACGTCACTGAGCATTATGTTTTTGCGTCGCTCTATTATGACGTCACGATGAAAAGCTTTCTGCCTCGTTAATGCTCGTTTTACTGCTTCAAACATCAGTGCTTTAGCCAATCAAAACGTGTTTTACAAAACAATTGCATTAGAATAGCCAATCAAAAGGTGTTCTACAAAATAATTGCATTAGAATCCAGGTAATAACAAACAAAGAAAGCATTTTATAGATTAATATAATATATTTTTTACAGGAGAATATTCTGCTCATAAAGGAAATACTGATAGTAAGCCCGCCTGTCAGTTCGTGTACGCCCTCTTTAAGGAGGTCACAGCTCTCACTGACGACAGGGAAGAGTTCGAACTGACTGATCTCATCCTCAATGTCAATAGGTCACTAGAGGACTTCATTGAAAAAGAGTATAATAAATCTAACGACGGAAACAAATCCTGGAATATCGGACCTCCTGAGGTCCCAGTGTGTATAGATCAGTTGACCAAGAAACTTGTGCTAAAGATACGATAAAATTTAACCTGGAATGACAAACTCCCAGAATTCCCTCTGTATATAGATTAACTGACCAAGAAATATGCATTTAAGGCACAGTGAACAAAGACTTATACTCAGAGATCTTTTGCTGTAGATTACATGTAATATGTTATTTTTGTTAAAAATATATTTTGATTAAATATTTTATTTAAAGTTAAACCTATAGCTATTTGAAACATTTTTATAGGATCTCTCATGATTTGAATTTGGATGTTTTTATCTGATGTGTTGTTTGGGTTTTCTTTATCCCCGAGCCTTGGCGAGAAGATAAAACACACGAGTTGAATAAAAGTCATATCCAACTTCAATTAATGGAAAATTCTTTTTATTCCATATTTAATACTTCACAACCAATATTTTACACGGTTTTTATGCAGGAATTTATTTTACTTCATGAAGCTTACGCAAAACCATTGTGACTTCACAACTACACTTTACTGATGGATATAAAAAAAATGCATATCCAATGAGTCATATCCAAAGGATCAAGTTATTAAGTGTATCCAATATGCCTCATCTATTCATGCGAGATATTAAATCATTTAATGAGAAAAAATAAATGAGAAAAAATAATTTGTTTAACGTATTGTCAATTAACAACCGTACGGTAATTTTCATGTCGATACGATGTATCCTGGTGAACTTGAGATAGAAGGTATCACAGAGTCTTACATATCTGTTTCATACTTGGATATTTTACTTGAAAAGCTCTATGATAACTTTATGATGACTTTAACTTTTCTATCGTCAACTTCCCTTACTTATGCTTCATCACCTGCATATGAACTAAATATATCTCAGCTGATTCGATGCGCAAGAGCATGATCTACGTATGAACAATTTCCAAAACGAGGTAAATTAATATTGACAAACAAGTTGATGAATTTCATACAAGAATATCAGCAGTCTCGTTTAAAGTCATCATTTCGTAAGTTATATGGTCGATACAATGACCTTGTCAGCAAATACAATTTATCATTAAGTCAAATGCTGACTGACGTTTTTCATACTTATTGTAAGTCCATTCTTTATACATTAAAATTGATGGATTTCCCGTTATTTTCCGGTTTTGACAAGGAGCACACGGCGGGTGTGTGCAGGGGTCAGCAGGGGATGCTCACTCCTCCATGACACCTGATTCCACCTCTATGTTCTCGAGGTTCTTATTCTTGTTTGCTCCCCTTCTTTGTATTGTTTTTAGACTTATAAGCTTGAACATTGTTCCTTTTCTCGATATATTTCAGAGACCTTTTCAAATCTAAAGATATTTTGATCGAGCAAAAAAGAGATTCAATTTAGCCAGTAACAAAAGACACTCCTGATATTTTTCGAAGTTTTTATCTCTCAGTCAAAATAAGTTTATAATACTAAAAATGAAATTGGAAATGAAATTATCATACCGGGTAGGTACTTTCTTGAAATTGACTTTATTTATAATAATGGTGTGAAGGAAAATTGGCAGGGCAAGATTCATAACTTAAACAAGTGAAACACTGATACCCCAGTATGTCAATATAGAGAAGGTTAAGCTTTATTTTAAATGCAGATCAAATATGTTAGTATCTAAAGTAAGGCTTTTATACAAGAAAATACAATTGCGAAATATAAAACTCTAGCGCCACATGTACAAAGGTTAAGACGGTTAACATTTTTTAAGGTAGAACAAACTCCGGGGTCAAGGTCAAAGGTTCAAAGTTGTTGATTTCTAAAGAAAGGCCTTGTCTCAAAGATTACTTCCTTTCACAGTTCAAAAGTTTTGGCCAAGGATAAAGTTTGTAAAAAGTAGGTCAAACTCTAAGGTTAAGATCAAAGGGTCACAGCTGTTGATATCCAATGAAAGGTCTTCTACCAAGGATTACATATGTGAAGTATATGAAAGCTCTAGCCCTTACTGCTAAAAAGTTATGGCCAATGTTAAAGTTTTTTGTTAGCATAGAAATCTCAAAGGTCAAGGTCAAAAAGTGTAAAAATTGTTGATTTCAAGTGAAAGGTCTTGCCACAAAAAATTGGTATTTGAAATATGAAATTCCTAGTATCTACTGTTTAAAAATTATGGCAAAGTCAAAGTTAGGATTTTTTGTTTAAAAATTGATCAATCTCCAAGGTCTAGATCAAATGGTCAAGGTTCTTAATATCAAATGAAAGGTCTTTTCACAATGTGTGAAGTATGAAAGCCCTAGTTCTAATTAGTCAAAAAGTATGGTTAAATACGTATTTTAAACGTGGATCAAACTTCAGGGTCAAAAATTCAAATTTGGTTCTGAACAAGGAAGGCCTGGCCACAAGGAGAACACATGTGAAATATGAAAGTCATAGCTCCAATAAAACAAAAGTTATGGGCACGTTTAAAGTTTTTGCGGACAAACAGACAGACTGAGGGGCAGCTGGACAGCTGGACAGACGGACGGACGCGACAAAATTCTACACCCCTCGAAAATTCGTTTATGGGGACATAAAAAAGTTGCTTCACAATACACATGTATTACTGATACCATATTTAGCCGATGTTTGAAGATTTCTCTATGTAATTAATTTAAATATGTAATTTGAGTCAATTTCATAACACTGAAAAGTCCAAATGGTAAAAATATATTGGTTTACATATAAATAAGAAAGGACTATGAATTATAAATCTGAAGAGTCGTCTGCGTGGCGCAGTGGTAAGAGCATGCGATCTAGAATCTCGAAGTTAGGAGTTTAACATTACGTCAAGGATTCTAATTCCACTGTGGGACGAGGTGACCCTTCGGATGAGACCGTATAAACCGAATTCCCGTGTCGCAGTAGATGCCCACAGAAAAAGATCCCTTCCTGCTGCGTGGTCGCGAGTGTCAAGTTTTTGATAAAAAAATTACAGCTCTCCACTGGCAAGAGGTGTCGTCTAATTTCAATAAACAACAATCAAACAAATCGAAAACTTCTAATAAATGATCTGTAGGTTCTTGATAAACGAAATTGAAAATGTCTGCACACCAATCATTGTCACATTAAATGTAAATTTTACGTCTTTGTGAAAAGACCTTTATTAATTGTAAATAAATGTTTTCAATCGACCCATGAAAATGTCTGACTTTGAAAAATCTTAACCTTTAACCATTTGATTTTTGTTTCTTGTATTGTTGATAGTAAACTCTTAAAACCTTTAATATCTCAATGTTTAAATTAGATTTTGGACTTTGGTCTAGAATTTATTTTAAATAAATAGAAAAAAAAATGTATGAATATATTGTATGATTCAGAGATACTATAAACGTTTTTCATTTGGCTGTGTATTCTTTTTAGCACTTTTGGCGGAAAGGAGCTTTTGCTAATTCAAGTACAACGCTAAATGTCTTGCACATATATAAACAAATAAGAACATTGAGAAATGCGCTTAATCAAATCTACGCCAACTCGTTCAAAAATCAATACCCGCCAAAAATCGCAAACGCAAAATATAATACATTTACAGTACTAGTATTTCTTCAGCCAAGTCTGACACCAGATGATAAGAATGTTCCAACTAAAAATGAACAAAATAAACAGTGATAGAGCAATAAGTATCAACGAAACTAAAATATCCTTATAACGGTTCCAAATGCTGGAATAAGGCTCTACAGATTGATAAAATGTAATTATAATGTAATGTAAATGTAATTGTAAGATAGAACCATTTTTAATAACATAATGTACACAATAATGTTTATTGAATCTTGAAAATTCATATTTCATCCCGTAACAAATAACGCTGCGTCGTGCAGTTCCTAACCATGCGTTATTAGTGAGAGCTGATAAATGTTCATATATGATACAGTAAACAACTACAATATAAAAGAAAATAATATGAATGTGAACAAATGGTTCTTTGGAGAACATTATTAAAATCACACTCTCTGTCTTTCTCTTGTTTTTTCTCTCTCTCTCTCTCTCTATCTCTCTCTCTCTCTCTCCGTCTCTTCCTGTCTCCCCCTCTCCCACTTCTGCCTTCTCCTTCCCTTCTCCCTTTCGCCCATTCCCTCTTTTTTTTCTTTCTATTTCCCTCTATTATTCTGCCTCAAGGGTTATTAAAATATTTTAATACTTCTAATGAAAATCCCAATATTTTTCCTGGATTGTCACGGATATTTTGAACGGACACTTTTAGGTCACGTGCAGCGATCTTTAACATAGTATAGGTTTTCTGAAAGTCCTCATTGGTGTATATCTTGCCACCATTCACCTGATTCATTTTTTCCACAACATCGAGCAGTTTTGAAATTTGCTGCTCATTTTCTTCCCCTTTTGCCTTGTTATTAATTCCCACGTACCGGTGTTCACATTTGTGAAGCCAGTAGTGCAAGCGCTTGTCTCCCTTTAGCATTGTTTTCTCCAAACCTTCCTCTATTTGATCAATATGAGTAAAGACAATTACAACAAATTTCCATAGATCCTCCCCAAACATCTCTGTGATCTTGTTTAGAGACTTTTCGTTGTCATCTGAGAAGCTTGTAGCTTTTTGCACGACTAAGATAGCGTGAAATCCAGGAGCGGCTTCGATCAAACATTTCTCATATTGTTTCTGTATCATTTTTGTGTCATCAATTGTGGACAAACCAGGTGTGTCAAAGCATACCAGATATCTTTCCTTTCTTTTACATTTTATTTGAGATGCCTTTTGTGTCACAGATTCCAGTGAGTTATTAGATACTTGAACTTCTTTTCCGACAATTGAGTTGGTTAGGGCGCTTTTGCCTACACCTCTAAGACCAGCTATCAGCATTCGACAGTTATCCTCATCGTCTATCATGAAAAACAAATATAAGGCTACATTTCAATGGAGAAATGATACAAATTATTTCTATCTTCCTCTATCAGGGCATATTTAAATCGAATGAACATAAAATTTAAAATTTTTTTCTTTTTTATCTTTATCAAAAAAAAAAAAAAAAATAATAATAATAATTTTAAAAAATCTAGGGATCGTTTCTAGTATATAAAGAACTGCATTATTAAACGTTATCATTTACTAAGGTTACATGTAAGTATTGTTATATGTAAGTATATGACCGCGGGGATGAAGAACTGCATAAGAGAGGAATTGCCCTAATGATCAGCCAGCAGGTAAGGGAATCATCCATGGAATGGATACTAGCGAAAATTAACTCTGCGAGTTAATTTCCTGCTGTACAGTACCCATCAGCGTGAGATTAATACTGTATACAGGGTTATTTCCACCCCGTGTTATATTCGCCCTTTCACATCTTAAAACAAGTTTGCCCCATTTTAAATTCACCCAAAAAGATTTTTGTTTAAGATATTATACAGTTTACCTTGAATTTGCCCCCGTCAGGCAAGGACGTTAGGGGCGAAAATTTCCGTGTATTCAGTAGTAGCACGATTCTTTATATAATACAGGAGAACATATCCGCCACATTGTGAAAGGAAGAGGTGGAGAAAGATCAATTCTACCAGAAGCTACAAACGACCTTGGATGGATGCACCAAAAAGACATCATTTGATGGGGGAACTTAACGTCAAGGTAGGAAGTGACAATAAAGGGTATGAAAGAAATATGGGTATCCATGGACTAGGAACACAAACGAGAATGGAGAAAGACTGTGAATTTTGTCAGACCAACGGGCTTGTAATCACAGGAACATTGTGTGTCTGCTACTGGAACAACGAAAAAACCAGATTGACAACCTTCTCATCAGTGGAGATCATCTGTTCTTGAAGGCCCAGAGTGGAGCGGATGCCAGTTGCAACCACTACCTTGGGAAGACCCGAATAAGTCTATGCCTCGGAACACACAAGTATAAGTACAAGCAGCAGAAGGATTTTCTCTGATTTTAGCAGAGGAAGTACTTGGCTTCAGGAAAGGCAAGCATTGCATCAGCAAAAACACCTGGAAGTTGATAGACGAAGGAAAATACATCAAGACAAAAATAGAGAGCACAAGACAAGATCAGAAAGAATCAAGACTAAATTGAAGGAAAATTACAGAGACAAATCCAAAAAGACCAAGAAGAGTGTGAGAGAGGACAATAGGAGATTGAAGGCAGAAAAAGCTGAGCACAGGGAGCAGCATAGAGAGGCAGAAAGAACTGTACAACATAGAAAAACAGCTGACAATAAAGATCAATACATAAACAGCAGCGGTGAAGAGCAAAGAAGGAGAGCTGCTGAAAAATATAGCGAGGCTTGCCAGATGGAGGAAATATTTTGAGGAAGCGCTTAACAGGGACACTCCAAAGTCACCACCACAAATAAACAGGAGGAGGGAGAAGTGCTGGACATCTCATTTAATCCACCCCACACACAGAAAAATAAGGGCTACACTGAGGACATTTCGGAAGGGGAAAGTCCCTGGAACAGATCAAATAACATCAGAAATGTTAAAGACAGACCAGAATTATACAAGCCAGAAACTCAAGCACACCTTTAACCCCATAGCGAAGGATGAGAAGGTGCCCAAAGTATGGACCAAATGACTCACCTGCAAAATTCCCAAGGGTAGCAACTTACAGGACTACAGCAACTCCATCCCTTGATAAAAACAAACACTTAGGAAAAAGCATGCAGGGTTCCGGAGCGGGAGAGGGACCGTGAATGAAATCTACTTCCCAAGGAACATCCAGGATCAAGCAAAGGAGTGGATTCCTACCCCGTAAATTCATTTTGTGGACTTTGAGAAAGCTTTCAACTATAATCACAGAGACAGCCTTTGCGTCATCATGACGAAATTTGGAATACCCAAAAACTGATTACGTTGGTCAAAGCCCTATAACACGATTTTGAGTATCCTTTGATTGATGACAATGAAACCACAACCCTTTTCCTGTGATGACTAGTGTCAAACAAGGATGCTGTAAGTCAGGTTTCTTGTTCCTCCTAGTGATAGACTGGGTGATGCAACAGGCTGTTAGAGAAAAGATAACATGAAATTGATGGGACCTCACCACTATGATTGAAGACCTTCACTTTGCGGACGACATTGCCCTACTTTCATCAGCAATTAACCGTCTTCAGTCCAAGTCAACAAATTTTGAAGAAGTCCAAACAAAAGTAGTTGAAATGAAGCTGAATGCCAAAAAGTGCAAAGTGATGGAGATAAACAACGAGAGTGAAGCCGGTCTGAAAGTCGGAAACAGTGAAACTGACGAGGTGGACAAGTTCACTGTCACTAAGGATGTTGGAGGTATTGCGTACATCAGGAAGAGGATAGCACTGGCCGCTGCATCCCTTAAGTTCTAGCCAACATCTGGATCACAGACATCAGTAGAAAGATAAAAGTCTCACTCTTCAAGAGCCTGGTCCTCTCTGTATTTTTATTCAGATGTAAGACTTGGAAGTTTACCAATTGAAAAGAAAAGAAATTGACATCTCTCAGACCAAGTGCCTCAGAGGAATTCTCGAGGTCAAATGGCAGCAGCATATCCTTAACAAGACAGTTCTGGAGATGACAGATGCAGAAAGCTTCCTTTGCTAGGTGAGGAGGAATATATATACATAAAGCACTAAATTAAACCAACAACACTGTATATCCTAAATGTCGGATCTACCAAGTAGATACAAGGTCACGGATGGAAATTTATATAAAGCACTTAATATATGACCAACGAAACGAACAATAAAAATTGTCAAATTTTCGGGATGCCCTGTCCCTTCCCTAGGACAAAGAAAAAAGTTAAAAAGTCATGAGAACAAAGGAAAAAAAAGAGAAACAAAAACAACTAGCACTACTACTAAACTACTAAACACTATATATTTACTTAGTTACATGATTTGGAAATTTTTAAGAACACTATTAAAGAAAGAATCCGGACCGCTATGAAATGCGTCCGGTCTATCGGGTATACTCGGGTGAAGTGCGATTTACATAATTGAACGAATTAATTATGCTAATTAATTACGACAATCAGTAAATCGTACATTGTTTCATTTTCTCAAAATGGCGTAACTATACTTGATTTTTTTTTATTCATATAAATAAGTATACTTGATAAAGAATAATCAAAGAAAAATAATATAGAAGGGGCATTATAACATATGAATTATGATCTATTATAAATTTTAATTTGAAATGTTTTAGGACTAATAATCGGTAAAAAATAATTAATAAACAAAGGCGTAAGGAATACATATTTATGTGGGTTGTTCTAGAGTTGGTAACGCAAATTAACTGTAGAGTTTACACTAAATTGAGAAATTAATATTGTTTGGTATCATCAGGAATCTGGTCTAGTTTACGTTCATTCTGGTGAAGTCATTCAGTTTGTTAATACCATTGGGGCGGAATGACTTCAATCTGTGCATCCAGAACTTTTCTTTGCTTTTTCTCTGAGCGTCTGTCCATCTTGGGTTATGGTCAATCACCACTACTGTCATGTCCTTCTATTTGTGACCGTCAAGGTTGAAATGTTCCCCAACGGGTTCAGTGAGTTTTTTGGTCCTAATGGTCGAACGGTGGTTGTTGACTCTCCTGCGGAGATCTCCTGTTTCACCAATATACTGTTTGGAACAACCTTTGTAACTGATGAGATAAATGCAGTTGTCAGTATGACAGGACAAATTTCCTAGTATTGTGTAGCTGCGGCCTGTAACAGGGCTGTTAAAATCATCTGTGTCAGTGCTGTGCTTACAAAGAAGACATCTTCTGTCAGAGCAAGTTTTAAAGCCCCCGTTATGTAATGGGTTGTCCAGTCTGGTTCTTACTACCATGTCCTTTAGGTTCCTAGGGCGTCTGTATGCAGCCAATGGGGGTTCCTGAAAGACCTCTGCCATTCGTTTGTTTGAATGGAGAATTGGTAGGTTCTTTTGAAGGATACCGCTTAGGTTCTTATGGACGGGATGGAATATGGTAACCAGAGGGACCCTGCCGCTATTGTCTTTCTCCTTGTAACGTAATAGGTTTTGCCTGTCATGTCCCGCCACCTCATCAATACCTGTTTGTACGTTGCGGGCATTGTAGCCTCTTTTGCATAGGTGGGACTCAAGAAGACCACTTCGCTCCTGAAATAAGCCAGGGGACGAACAGATGCGTCGAATTCTGGTGGCTAGACCCTTAGGCACTCCCTTAAATGTGTGTGGGGGATGACAGCTAGTGGGTATAAGATACAAGTGGGAGTCTGTGGGTTTGGTGTGGAGACTGAATTCGATTTCACCATCAATCAGGGTAGATGTGGTATCTAGAAATACGTTTTTCGAATTAGATACGTCTACTGTAAATTTGAACGACTGATGAAAGGTGTTTGGCAAAAGTAATGAATGCCTCGAGACTCTCCCGACATTCCACCCACTTCATCTCTATATCGTCAATGAAACGCAACCAGCTATGGGGCCTAAATGGTGCTTGAAGTAACATGTTGCATTCCAGTCTGCCCATGAAGACATTGGCATAAGACGGTGCCATTTTCGTACCCATAGCAGTGCCATTAACCTGTAGATAATGTTCTCCATTAAACATGAAGATGTTGAACTTGAGAACGTGTTCAAGGAGCTTGGCAAGGGACTCGGTAGAAGGAATTTGTATGGACCTACTATCCCAGACTTCTCTACAGGCTTCGATACCCTCATCGTGCGGAAAATTGGTGACTCACGTCCATAGTCACGAGGAGGGTATGATCTGGTAGGCCAGTAGAGGGCGTCTTGTTAATGTAGTCCGTGGTGTCCTTGAGATAGGATGGCAAATTCTCTACGTGTGGATGGAGATGGAAATCATTGAATTCAGAAATTTTCTCCGTGGGGTGTCCAACTGCGCAGACTATGGGGCGACCTGGCATGCCTTCTTTGTGTATTTTAGGAAGC